ACATTGTTGAAAATGCGTTGATGGACTCAGTAGCTTTGTTAGATTTTACCTTGGTACAGTTTTCAATCGAAGCTTCTTGCACTTCAGTTCAGTTTACATCTAATTCTAATACTACATCAAACCAGAGAGAAAACAGTGATTTTTTCCCGGATTCTTTCAAACAGAAAATTCTCCACATCACTCAGCTTGGAGGCAAAATATGTGATGGAGAGGACGAGAAAACGCAGAATCAAACCTGTTACATGATAACTGATTTCAAACGTGAACGTACAAAGTATCTGTTCTTGGCGGCCGTCCTTTGTTTTATTGGTCTTTTCACATTAATTGGTCCCGCAGTTGTTTGTTTATTCCCTGCAACAGAAGTTACATCAACCATATCATCTGCACTGGCATCTACTTCAACTGTCGAAGGCGGCGATAGTCAAATTGTCGTTGCCTGGCAAAGTCCAATAGGGGTTCGGAGTCTTATAGGAAACAGTTTCTTTTGCGCCTATGACACCATTTGGAACAGGACCAAAAGGTTCATTACGCGCGTTTTTGTCCTCCCCGTTCCGTTTCTTTTCCCAGCAGTATTTGTCGAATATTTACATTATAATTACATTTTGCCTCGACACAATTTTCTTAATATCATGCAGTTGTCTTCATGCTTCAAACTGAACGTCCTATGTTACAGCTGTTACTGCATTCACGCCTTTCTGTGCAGTTTTATGATAAGAAAGCCCCGCAGTTTTGAAGATATGGCTAGGTTGCGAAAATTTCTCCTCCTTTGCGATCTGCCATTGAAAATGCTAATTCACTGTCGGCGATTTTGGCTAAAGCCATTTGATATAGACGTCCGCCTAATTTGCTCCAATATTCTAATAGGGTTTATAATGCTTTTGTTCTTTTTCTTCCCGTATTTGTGTTTTAACGCAGCGTTTGTCTCCCCGATAGCTGTTATGTGCTCGACTGAATACGTCACCTTTTTAATGGCGCCCCGCAAAACTTCTAAAACATTTACTCCATACAATGTTGTTCGTATAGTCTTATATTTCCTTACGTTTTGTATCTCTTGGTTCGCCGCATATGGAGGAATAACTCTCTTGCGATCCGCAGGTCTTGGCGTACTCTTAATTCTTCAAGTGGCCGTTAATTTTTTGCTTTCTGAAGAAAAACTTCCATTCGCAATTTTGCTTGCTTTTCTGTCGCATTACTTGTGGAGTAGCTACAGGTCATTTACCAACAGATACAAAGAACTTGGCTTGGTGCTTAGTGAGCGACTGGAAGGGAAAATCATAGATGGAAAATGTTACAGGTTTATACCAAAGAAGCTTTTCCAAAAGTCTTTAGAAGAGCTACTACCTATCAAGTCAAACTTGTGTAAACTAATTTCGAAAACAGTACTGTATTTGATCTATTTTTGTGCTACTTTATCTGTGACAAAGGTCATGGATATCACTCCTCTCTCTAAAGCCTTAGTGGTCGTGTTCATGTTGGGATCAGTTCCAAAGATCATGGCATGTTTCTTTGAAAAACGTAACCCCCAAAAACCCGATGATTTGACCAATGACAAGAAACCTGGACATCTAGTAGAAGAGTATCTCAAAAGCACCTCCGTTATCAACACTCGAACAAGCGCTGATTATGACATTTTTCCATCACTACTCTTGAAGCCAGAAGAAAATTGGGATGGATTTGATTGTTCTTCGGTGCTCATTTCTCTTATGCTTTCCCTTTTCACGGCAGACTTGATGCTTGGTTTTGTGACCTTCATGGCCTTCATCTTTTATAATAATTTAATTATAATAATTTAATTCTTATATTGCGCGCTTTCCATGAAATGATCAAGCGCGCATTACATGATTTCTATCTATAAAAACTTAACAAAGCGTATGTAACTACTAATTATTTAAAATATACTATGATAAAATTAAAATATACAACATATGTTAAAATACTAGTAATTGTCGTGATAAAAATTAAAAATTAATAAATTAATAAAAAGCTTCCCTAAAGAGGTACGTTTTCAGTTGGCGCTTAAAAATCCCTAGATCTGTAATAGAACGAATCTCACGCGGTAATACATTCCAAAGTGCCGGAGCTGCGACCTGGAATGATCTGTCTCCTAATGTAACCCTACTTCTACAACTTGGCGTTGCAAGCAACAAACTATCCGAGGAGGATCTTAAATTATAATTTCCTGATCTTTTAATTGACACAAGTTCTCTTAAATACGTTGGCGCGAATCCATGGATGGCCTTAAAGACAAATAGTAGAATCTTAAAACTAATGCGTTGCCTAACCGGTAGCCAGTGCAGCTCGTACAGCAACGGCGTTATGCGACAGTAGCGTGGCGCGCGACAAGCTAGTCTTGCTGCGGCATTTAAAACGCGCTGAACCTTATTCAGGTGAGACGCTGGCAAGCCATATAAAAGACTATTACAATAATCTACGCGCGAGGTAACAAACGCATGTACGAGGGCTTTAGTGGTGTCTGTACTTAAAAACCTACGGATCCGACTTATATTATTTATCATAGTTATTAGAGGAGACTGGTTATGAAGAAAGAGAACAAACATCAAATATATAAACAATGGTGCCGCAGTTTATGGTGGAGGCTCCCTGACGGTGCACAATCCTTTGTTTTGTGTTAGCAAATTGTGATGGAATAAATTAATGCGACGTTTTAAAAATGTTTTTAATAGTACGATCAAAATGGTAGGAATACTATTGAACGTTGTGCATCTTCAGGTCTACAAAAACATATAACAAAGGAGTCTCACGGGTTTCATACCCATTCCAATCTATTAACTACGGTTTTATGCTTGAAATAACGGCCGGTCAACGGACAATGTCTGGTCAAAAGTAGGCTTGATAATATCCGGCCAAATCCTTGGATGAATGACCGGACATTTGGTCCGGTCGTTTATGCTTCTAATTAAAAATTTAATTCAGAACTTCAGATTGTAAATTAGGTTGGACATTATTGGCGTTCGGGGAGAAAAAATAAGAATAATACCAATACTACTAGACCAAGAACTTTTCTATGTGAAATGACTGTGGTTTTTCAAATTCCGGACGTAAAGCAAGTTCAGGAGTAGCGTGTAACGGTGTTAAATAAATTATTAGGGACCTTTTAAGGTCCCTAATTAAATGGCCTAGGCCAAACTCCGAACTCTTCATGAGACGAACCAAACTTCGTGAAAAGGTCGACGTCTGGCTCAGTTGAGTTCGTCTGAATGAGTTTTGATCGTCGAACACGTTCTTTCCGTCTCCTTCAGACGGATAGAACGTCTAAAAATCGTCTCCGGGACAAACGTCGATCTGCACATGCGACGAACGAAACTAACAAATTAAAAATTTGCTTGTTAACGTATACTTATCCTCGTTCGGGAGAAAATTCATTACTGATCTGATTCAGTTGATTGGTTCGAAACGTCCTAAGTTCGACGTCTGACCCAACAGACGATCTTAAAGTTTGGTTCGTCTCATGAAAAGTTCGACGCTTGGCCTAGCTTTAAGATCCAGGGACATGATGGCAGCGAAAACGTCGCTTAAAAAGTGAATTCGCGTTCTTTCAGCTTTAATAGCAATTATTCCTACCCACTTATCGTGTGGCGCGAAATTTTTGCTGGTTCTAGTTGTTGCGATTGTTCCCGGAAATATAAATCACTGCAAAAAATTTACTCCAGAGTAATATTCTCTAACTAAAATTCACTACACAAAAATACAGAACTAAGAAATCGTGTCTGTTAAATTGCAACTTGTCTCCTTCGTTCAGAAGCTAAGCGGTACACAATGAAATACTGTTGTTTGAAAATATGTTTTTCTATTGCACGTAGAAACGAAAATGTTACCAATGCTGGGTACTGGGTACTTTCTGAAAATCGCAAAACTGAATCAATTCCCAGCAAGAATAGCCAATCTGTCCAAATTGCAAAAATTAGTTCCCGCAATACACAAAAAATCGTCAATCCGCAAAAATAAACTCCCGCAAAAATTTCGTGCCACACGGTACTTTGTCAAATGTATGCGAATTCTCCTGGAGTTGAATTCATATCGGGACAATATAAGGGCCTGTTTACATGGAGGTGGGGGACCCCAGGTAGGTGAGGTAACCCGCCTGTCCATGTAATCTCTCATTTTCATTTGATCACGTTTACATGATAGGTGGGGTGACCCGCCAAGGCGGGTAGCCCGGTCTACCAGACCGGGTTACCCTCTCAGCTGGGGTCACAATTTGTCATGTAAACGTTTCAAGGTGGGGTAACCCGCCTGGCCGAGGTCGGATTCGTGATACATCAAATTCGCGCAAAATTTACTTTCGCGGTGTCTTTGCATTATGATTAAAGTTAACAATAGAAAGCTATTGCACTGACGGGTTGCAGCAAGAGCAACAAGTGAGTGAAGAAGTGCATTAATCGCCAAAACTCGTGGTTTGCCAGCATTTTTCTTGTTTACGTGCTTAGCGACCATTCAATAATCTTGAAAAAGTGCACCCCGGGAAGGCGGGGTTGTAAGATTGCATGTAAAGGAGGGTTATTTTTTTACCTCACCTAAGCGGGTTACATCACCTACCTAGGGTCCCCCACCTCCATGAAAACAGGCCCTAAAAGTTCGGAAAGAGAACAAAAGTTTTCGTCGTCCCTTCTTTACGTTCCCCATAAAACGTAAAATTAGGCATGTACCATTTTTCCTTATTTTCTAGGCTAGGTGCGTTATCTAGGATGCAATTGATTATGACAGTAACAGCCGTTCACAAGGTGACAAACAATCTTAAGAGTTGTTACTGTAATCTTGGCTTGGACTTCAATACATAGATACATGTATGGATGTATACACACATATTCTTTTTTACTCTTTTTTAATTTTATTTCCTCAGAAGGAGTTAAAAGCTATGTAGCATGTGGAGTCGTAAAAAATGTAGAGGTTAATAAATAAAATAAAAATTCTAGTGAAAGTTCATAACATAAGGCTAACCATTCTCACGCAGCAATCGTACAGCCAGATATAATTTCACTCGGCTGAGATACGCGCAAGATGGTACAATTATATCACTAGTCCAGAATTGCCTATAAATTTTTACAGGTATCTAGCTTTGAACGTTAAAGCTTTTATAATTGTAATGAAACGATGATGAACGTCTTTTAAGTAGTACGGAATTGTTTCGGGTCCACAGTAATTGCGCAATATATAGTTGTGGATTCCCCGCTAATCTGGAAATTAAAGCTAATAAATTAAAATAAAGCAAAACATGACGAACAAACTTTGTTTTAATCACTTTACATCGTATACCTTCATAACTTTTCAGATCCCAGTTTCGTGAATTTGTTTTCGTCACAACTGCAACATTCTACTGTCAACTTTTTTCCTTTTAAAGTTTGTTCAGCAATGAATCTTGTATCCTGCCAACGATTTAAAAGGGTGATTGTAAAACGTATCTCTTACTGAAACGTTAAAAATTATCCTTCAATTTGTTAACTGCTGTAAATTGCTTCCTGAAACTCTCCGTCAGCAGCCTCCCTTTTCAAACATCCTGCACTTTTTACTGCTAATTGAAAGGCGTTCCTAGCACCTTAAACCCTTGGGTCTCTCTCTTTGCAGCGTGACACATTCTCACCATAACCTCTGGCAGAGAAGAACGGAGGAGTTTTCACTTACATGTTACCTTGCTACAGCTATCTTGGGTCAAAATACATCTCATTCGATGTGGACTCCTCTCCCGTATCATCCACGGTACCATTTAAGTTCTCTTTGATTTGATGTTCGAGTTCTAACATGTCAGTTCCGTCAACTTGAGCTACCGACTAAAGAACAACACCAAGAGAAAAATATGAGAAACAAAGAACTTATTTATCTCTAGCAAGCTGCATTTTTTATTAAAGAATCACAACAAAGCTTCAATGAGAATCGTATAACTAAATGAAATGCTATGACTTGTATACACAGCACACAGCATATAATTGACTTGACAAATTCAAAACTAAGTAATACGGTACCTGGCCATTCCAAAACAGTTTAAAGGTTGGTAGTGAAGCGATCGCTTGTTGATACTTCAACACCTTGCAGAAGGAAAAGTTGATAGGATATGCTGAAAAATACAGTTGAACCTCTCTACAATGGCCACCTTCGAGACAGAAGAAAGTGGCCATTGTAGAAAGGGGGCCGTTGTAGAGAGGTTAAAACAAGAGTGAATCTATGGACTGTCCGCCAAAAAAATGGCCGTTGTAGAGAGGTGGCCGTTGTGGAAAGGTAGCAGTTAGTGGAGGTTCGACTGTATTAAACATCATCAAGAAAATAACGTATTTTTTCCTTCGGTTCATATATTCAGTAAGGTGTTGTCAAACATGTTCTCTGTCGCTAGCCTACGTGACAGACGTCGAAAGGGGAGGGAAAAGGACGGAAAGGGAGAGGGGATTGGGGAGAGAAGGAAAGCACCCTTTTCTCTCCCTTTTCCCTTTCTCACTTTTTCCCCCTCTCCTCCCCTCCCTCCCCTCCCTCCCCTTCATTTTTTTGGGCCTGCCACGCAGGCTATCTGTTCTCCTTGAATGCTTAAGATGAAATACGTTGACAAGAACAACAACATGCGTTAGGAAGTGACAGTAAGAGGAGCTTACAACATATTGGGGTGCAAACAATAAGAAATAAATTTAAGAAAGTTTAATGTCACTAACTTTCAATTTGTCGACGTTAACACGTGCAAACACTGCTTGTCCATTCAGTCCATACTTGGCATTCAGTGAATCATACGAGTCTGCGACAGACCTGCACAAGGCACACCTGCAAAAACACAAATAAGAACAAAACAGCAATTGAAGAACTGCCTTGACGCAACACTAGCAAAAAACACTGCTGTCTGTTTTGAGGAGGGACTGTACATTACTTACCAGCGGTTCACAAGCGGGTTTTTAAAACCAAGAGAAAAGAAACTCGGTGCTTGACTTCCCGTACTGACCCAGAAAATGAGGTTAAATAAAACTATAAGTATGTACCCACTGATAAGCTTACTTTCTAAGCTACTTACCAATCGGCGTAAAATTGTACAACTACGAGCTTGTCTTGTTCATTTAAAACGTCTTGCCATTCGTCTAATTTCGTGATGTTCTTCACGTTCAATACTATAATAAAAAAGGCCATATCATTATTGTGCTAGCCACGCGCAATGCCTGCAACGGTGAAAAGCCTTTAGACATATCTCACCAAGGTCTAACTCATTGTTTGTAGTCTTGCAGCAGGAAAAACAAAGTAAAATATGAGACATTTAAATGATTAACATTCCCCTCTCTTCCCTCCCCTCCCCTGCCGAAAAAAACCTACCTGGACCTTGTCCCTGGGTAACCACTCCTTGTTGATCTTTTTTCTGTACAACAAGTGCTGCACGCGGCGACAAGCCTACAATGTCAGGTGATCAGAAAATAGCACAGTTTCACCTAACAACTATAAAATTAACCTGAGATCAGGCTCAATTTTCGTTTCGCTTTGTAATAACATTCCGGCGGGTGAAGGCGAAACGAAATGTATGAGAACCGCTAAAATTGGGCCTGATCTCAGATTACTATAAAATAGGCCATTTCCGAGTTCTAAAAACTCTCACATTAAAAACAAGACTAAGTGCAAAATCTTTGTTGCACTGAACATGAGTTTTACTTGCATGAGAATAAAAAACATGCATTTTCATATCAATGGCTTCGCATTTGTAACAGAGGCTAGGCCACTCGGGAATCGCCTATTTTACAATGCCAAGTAAGTGTCCGATTAAGCAAGTAAGCTGTGAAACATTCATATGAAGCTACTGATACTCTGAGAATTTAGATGGGCTTTTGTCCCCTCTTGTATAGTCTCTACCGTACGGCATACAAGTAAGTACGCTCTAAATATTGACATATTACTTAATATGTGAAAGAATTATGCGGACACTTTCTATTCCGAAAGAGGATTTGGGCAACTGAATCCAGTTACCTTCTGCCTCAAGGGTACTTTCCATTTCAGAGATTCGCCTCTGGGGAAACGATGTCAGGAGCAGAAAATCGTCTACACTCTGGTTGTCATGCCATAGTCTGTTGATTTCACTAAATGGATAATAAAGAAATGAATGAATGAATGAATATATAGATGAAACCTTTTTGAGAATTAATGACTACATTGGCCGCGTCATTTGCGTCTTCCGGAGTATACCACTGTTTCCAGAAACAACAATTTGCATTCTTCAATCCTGAGGCCTATTAAGTATTTATATAATAAAACTTGTTTTAACGCGGAGTTAGTTCCTTCAGCAAAGTCGATTTGCCACTTAGCAAGGTCTTTTGAGTCCAGGAGGGCAGATACATTGAAAAATTCTCCCGTTAAGAAAGTTCACGTGAGTTGAAGACGACACATTTTCAGTCACATTTTCGGACTGATATAGTTACTTACCGATATAAGGCCCTGATCGTTGAATCACTTGGAAGGCCAACAGACAGGATCTGCGAAATATAAAATGGGGATGAGTTGTCCATGCAACTTTTCGTAATAGGTTTTCTCATGCGGCCAGCCGACTAGGCTCGATTTCCGCCGCTTTCTCGGTCCAGTCCCCGAGAACAGCGACTGGTAATCGAGCCTAACGACCAGTACGAACATTCAATTTCCATGGAGTAAGCGTAAAGTGGAGCCATCAACTTCTGAAAAACCATTGCTGGGTTTTTCTGAAACATGGCGCAGTCTTGAGTTATCTACGCTTGACTAATGGCTAACGTGTTTTTGCAATAAGCAACGAGGAACATACATCTGTCCAAGTATAAAAGGAGCTCAGTATTTGAAATTTTGAAGTAACCAGACTTCCGCGCATCTAGCGAAAACTTCTGAAGTTCATGAAGGAACACAACGACGTCAGTACTTCAGCCAATTTGAGACAGTTTGTAAATTTAATACAATCAAGAATATAAATTCAACTGAAGTCACTCGTTTTACCTGTCCATCCGGTAACCTTATTCTCAATTCCACCATTGATGATTTTCCTTCATCACACTGCTGATCAGTAGAGGCTGTGCTTGAAGGCTCAGGAGTGTCTGTTGCAAGTTTAGCGAGCTTTGCCTTAAAACAAAAATGACGCCAAATAAATAAGGTGATAATACTGTTTAATGGTTGGAGAAGTCCTCAATTATCACTCGAAACATCTTCACAAGTCAGACATTCACTTGAATGTGTGTTGTACATGTTTGTAGCGACTAAACGCCAAACGGGTCGAAACTCCTTCCATAGTATTGGAATACCTACACTGTAGTTTGAAAAACTCGAGACAGACCCACTTTAAGCTTTGGCCATGTTGATTTCAAGCGAATTTTTAGACCTCTTAAAGTTGTTATCACATTTTTACTGTAAAGCTTGACGTGCAAAATGTTTGAACTTTATGCGAAATGATATTTGCGTGATAAGGGCCGATATAATAACAGTGAGGACTGAAAAAATGCGTGCGCAAGCAACACTTTCTTATTACAACGAGGCAACACTTAGCACCAAAAGTTCTATGCTGCTGATTATCATAGCAGGTTATTACAGAATGGCTCATTATGACTTGTATTTGTATTTGTATTCATGTACCTTTTCTAATCTTTCATCCTTCTCATCTCTCAAATCTTTCAGTAAATTCTCTTTCTGAAGTTTTTTTCTTTGTTTTTCCAGCCTGCCAAAACAAACACTGTTCTTAATAATGCTCACAACTGCATCGAATACCCAAGCTCCATACGTCCCTAAAACATTATCATGGGTCTTACAATGTACACGTATTTACCGACAGTAAAAAATTTCATACTTTGCCTCTTCAATTGCTTCAAGTCTGAGTCTCTCTTGAAACTTATGTCTCTCCTCAATTGTCTTTTGGAATCGCGATACCACAGCAGGCTGTGAAGAATAAACAGAATGGTGTGGGATTTGCAAGTTGAAGAGGATTTTTAGGAACTTATAATGTATGATATATGAGTTGATCCATTATTATAGAAAGCCTTTCTATTATTCGAAAAAGTCTACGATGCTACAAGTTTGGCAGATATGTCCTTTTTCTTGATGTGTGATATTAGTGAGTTTACATCAGCCGACAGTGAAAACAAAGCATTGTTGAATTGTATGAGGTGGGGCAGCAGGCCTATGTGTACAACGCAAAAACGTTAGTACTTTCACACTTCTAACACATCACAGTTTCTAGTTTGAGGTGGAAATTAGAAGTGATGCTGTACGATGCTAAGTTATCGCACAATGAACCGTAACCGAGCTTGTAGACATAAAGCACCACAACACTGCAGTCACTCAACATGAGTGTCTACTCTAAACCTCTCTAGTTAGTCATTGTTTGAAGACAACAGGCCATGCCAGACAAAATATTGGATCAAATTATAACCTTAAAGCGACCTGTATAAGTCAGCCTTGCTTTTTTGCTAAAGGCCAAACAACAGTTTATTACATTTATACTAAAAGGATGATCTTTAATCAACTTACCCCAGTTGACAAGCTGGTACCAGCAGACCTCTGACTGAAGCTACTTTTATCACTATGAGGTAAATCAGGTACCACTGATGCTGCTGCGACAGTTGTTTCTCCTGTTCCTGCTGTCTGTTCTAATGGTACTGTAGCTTTACCAGGATTCTCATTTATCCTTGCAGGTTACATAGAAAAGGATTACAAAGATACATTGTAAAACAATAAATTATTAGAAGCAACACCATTTCAGAGGTGATAACTTGCTCAATTATTACTGTAAATGCTTGAATTAGCACCCACCTAAAAATAATCAGCTCTTTTAGCATACAAGTATTAAATACGTAATCCTTACCAATCAATAGCGGGCTGTATTCCTTTGTTCTTTGTACAGATTAAAGCTCGCTCAGCCACAGCAATGTCATAACCTTGTAAGGGTACCACAAAAAATAGTCGTAATGAAAGAACTTGCAGCATTGAAATCATTATCATGTTTTGTAATGAGTTAACATACCCAGTTCCTTCATGTAAGAGAGCAAGGTTAGATCTGCTTTTGTGTCTTGGTCGAACAAGCTCTCGCCTATAAAATAGAATGGCAATAAAATGGCCAAGATAAAATTTGTAAACAGAATGGTTGCGTCACTGCATTCTAAAATTACTCTTTGTAACTGTCAAAACAATGGCATACATCTCCTTGAAATAAGAGAAGTATTTTTCAAGCAATATAATGAATAATATTATTACTACGAAAAAGCAACCCAAAATGTTAAATATCCCAGTAAACAGCTGCTGATTATGTCAAGGAGACATAAGAAATACTATTCACCTCCCTAAAAAGGTGTTCAAGATTCAAAACAGTAATAGAGATCTAGATTCATATTTCCTCACTAAAACCATCAACTGGATAATCACAAGGAAAAAAATACCTGTTCACAGTACCGAACACATTGTCCAAATTCATTATGATGCCTACACAACCTGAAAATGTGCAAACTATTTTTCATGCTTTTGTGCAGATGTAAGGTTTACCTTTTTGTGAGCTCAGTTTGAGCACTGTACTGCCAGATTCACTTGAGCCTTGTGAGGGGTTACTTCTTATTGCATTGTTTGATTTATTTGACTGTGAAATTCCAAGAGCCCCATCAATCAAGACTTTAACTCCATCAATGTTTACAGAAAATGGAAGAACCAGAAATTCCCCGTCCTGGAATGAACATTCAAACAACTAAAATATTAGTTTCTGCATGTTAAGGTGTTTTCTTTAATGCTTTTAATTTACCTCATCAAATTAACCAATCAAAGTTTTTAGAATGCAGAGGGTCAGCATTTGAGTGCAAGGGAAATGGATAAGATAGAATTCAATAGAGTGCAAAGGTTTATTCTTGCATCAGAGATAAATATGCTCAAACTGACAATTTTTTTTGCCATATGCTAGAGCGGGTCTAGGATTCATGTCATAGGGGTAAGAATAAATGAGTCCACAAAGGAATATAATCTACAAGGATCTGTGGAAATTAATTATTATTGCTTCCTAAGAAAAATTTCAAAATTTTAGTCCTAGGAAATGTTGTTTCCAGCATTCAGAGGGGCAAAACAAATTGTTTTTATTGTGGAGAGTCAAGGGGATTTTGTTGCAATAGCAGGTTTTAGACATTAGCAGTTTCAGCTTAAGTACTTTAACTAAGCCACTTTAAACCACCCCAAGTTGCTCCCCAATCACTCTCATATCAATAGGTATACTGCAAAAGTACCTGCTCAAATCCAGACAACAGCAGAAATGTTCTTGCCTGCTCCAATTGCCAGATGGCTGAGTTAAACTTTGGGTTGGCTAAAAGTGTGGAAAAAACTGTTATGACTTTACATGTACCTTGGCATGGTCAACTTTGTATGTCATTAAAAGAATCAATAAAAAGAATAAAATATACAAAAAAAACTATACATAAAAAAAATTCAACTTCCTGCACTTTCTTGCAAACTGGTTTCACCATTCCTCCCTTAAATAGTGCAAGAAGGGAATAAAATTTAGTAAGCATGGTGCAAAGAAAGTCATTTTTAAAGCTTGCCGTTCAGGCAAGCTGAAGCTAGCATATACTAGCCCAAACATCATTTCAACAAGCCCCAAAAACATTTTGATGAGCAGAATTGATTCACAGTTCTTCTGTAATTTGAATTCCTCAAAAAACTTCACTTGCCCGTCGGGCAAGTTAAGAACAAAACTAACTAGCCCAATAGAAAAATCCACTTGCCACGAGCTATTGGACACTACTTCTTTGCACGCTGAGGAAGGGGGCAATTTTGTTGCTAGGAGGGGATAGGGAGTAGGTGATAGTCAGAAAACGTCTTAAGTCTGTGCCACAAGGTTATCAGCATCCCAGGTAATTCTTTCAAGAACTCGTGCTACCCAGTCACACTTGAGTGGCTTTCCATACAAATCCATGTAAATTTCAAAATTTTCAAACTGTCATGAAATATTTCCTTGAGCATTACTTGGCTCAAATTGTGTTATGCTGTTTCAGCTTGTGCTAACAAAAACAAACTGTTTTCGTGTTCACAGAAAGTTGATCACCTGATCAACTAATGCAAAAGACCTATTTGTTTTTAAAAATTCTTGTTTTTGCCTTGGGTATGGAGAAGGTAGCAATCAATGTAAATGTTAGTGAAGTTGAGCTGTTGTCTCAGGGTAGAATCAGTTAAACAGCTAAAATGCAGCAAACAGGAAAACTATCATCAAATGTCATTTGTATCATGACAAATTATAACATATTCAAAGCAAGTGGCGAGAAGACAATTGCATGATGAGGTTATTTTACTACAACTTCCAGAATCCTTCAGTACGTCTTTTTCTTGTGCTCATTTAATAGGGCTATTGTCTTTTAAATCTCAGCGGGATTGGGCAAATTTAAATAAGAAAGCAAAAACGAAATGAATTCTGGTAGTTGTAGTCAAATGCTGTCATCGTGAAAGAAGCCTATTGTTCGTGGCTACATTCAAGCTGATTCAAGTACATTACCTGTCTGACTGTTTGGCCCATGTTTAGGTCTATAAAAAGGCTATCACTTAGCTGATTCTATAGGTGACATTTTAAAAGCTAGTTTATACTTGGTTTACTTACTTATTCTAATTTTCCTGTATTTTTGACTGTCTGGATCTTTCACTATGTTGTTGACATACACTTGCATCAAAGACAGCGCATTTTTAACCTGATCTGGGTCCGGAACTGATCTTAAAGCTTCCTATAACATTAACAGAAGCAAAGAAAATGGGCAGTAGCGATTTATAACAAGAAATAAACGCTGAAACCGTGCAGACAAAAAATACAAAAACTTACCAAAGCAGACTCCATTACTGAGCCTGTGTTGACTTGATCAGCGGCAGTCTAACATAGTTAAAGCATGCGCTCTAAGCGAAGTAAAACAGAAGAGAGAAAAGTCTTGAAGAAGGAACTAGGTGTTGAATATTGTTAGTGAGGAAAAAGTTAGGGTTTGTCTCTTCAAAATGGTATGAATATCGTGTATACTTGTGCCAGTAGTGTTGTTTATCTGGCACAAGTTCATTCAGCCGCTTGTTGATAGATGGTATGGAAAACCTAAACTCGAAAGTGGGAAACAAGATGGTTTACAAAAATCTAATGAAAAGGTGAGTGAGCTTATAAGCACATATAAGAGCATAAAGTGAACGCAATTCCAGAATCTAGTATTTTAAATTGGTCTGATTCGGCTGTTCTTGTACGGATAAACCTGACCTCCCAAAACGCTTCGATTCATCATGTCACCACGTTTGAGTTAGCTTAAGCTTACACGTACTTGGATTGCCACATTATGGCAACGGCTTAATTTTTTATCTTTACTGTTACATGTTTGCCAAAAGGGTAACACTTTGGTGCGTTAGAGACTTTCTTCATGATTTCTTGTAACTTATGCAACCTCTTCTAGTTTTAATCCAAGCAACAGAAATGATTCTACGGAATGAATAAAATCCAAAGACAATACACGACAATATCACTTTAATTTGCTGAATATTTAATTTATCATTTTTATGATGGGTGGATATTATGTATATTGGCTTGCGTTCTGTTTAAGAACGTTTTATCTTCATAATTTCAGTTCTATTATCTAAGCTAAGACAGTTTTTTAAAAACATTTATTTTTGTCTGCAAATTATAAAATACTTCTACATGTATTCAGTTGTACATGTATGTTGTACTGTAACTTATCAAATTGCCTGAAGGTCATGTCGACCCAAATTATCGGCTGAAACTGTAGAATAGCAACTTACCTGTGTAATTTTAATGCATAAAATTATTACGATGACATCCAGTTCTTTATGTGTGATTTACATTATAGCTGTAATTAGCACCTCTGTATTGTACTATTATTCAGAGGCTGTTAAGTCTTAATCAGCGACCCCATACCTTTCAGAGCAAGACTAATACAATGATTGGCACCTGCTCTTAGTTTTTTCAAGCCGTTTGATTTTGTGTTTTTTTATTTAATGGTATTGTCCTACATTATGTTATCTTATTGTTATACATTACAGCTGTAATTAGCTCTACCATATTATACTACTATATTATTTAGTGGCTTAAAAGTCTTAGTCGGCGACCACACACCTTTTATAGCAAGATTAATACAGTGATTGGGACCTCTATACCCTTAGCTTATTCAAGCCCTTTGACTTTGTGTTTTTTTTATCTTCATGTTATTGTTAGAATCATAACTATAACAAAATTTTTGATATCTTAAGCTTTTCTATAATTAAAACACAGGATATTCCAACAGTTTTTTTAAGTAAAAAGGAAAACTCATCTGAAAGTGCATGTGCGATGGCTATTACTGTCCAATTACTGTACGTAGACAAATATGACATTTACTGTCGTATTACACTGTCCTATTAGAGCTGAAATCAGGACTGTTTATAGCCAATCAGATTTGAGAATTGTTTTATAGTTTTGATTAGCCTTTTTATCCAATCAGTCAAAATGCTTAAATTACAGTAACAGAGGCTTTATCAATGACAATAAACGGTGTTTTCTTGGTCTGAATACTGTGCAGAATGCATTGAACCAACTTGCCCTTAATCTGCTCCAAACATGGACGTGAATGAACCTTGGGTAGTGTAGCAGTTGGCTTGTGAAATAACTTGTTTAACTTGTTGCAGTCATAAAAAAGTAATCTGTTGTAAACGGTCTCATTAATCTCATTTTTTGAATACGCCCATCCAGCCAGAGTACAGCTATGTTGTAGTTAATTTTTTTTATTTTAGGTAATTGTTTTGTTTTTCCGTTGTTTCTGGATATGGTGATGTGTGCTAATGAATTTGAAACAAAGGAAAAACAGAAATTAACTGAAATATATAATTAACTACAGTCGACTCCCGATAACTCGAACCTTCAAGGGAAATCAAAAAAGGTTCGAGTTATCGGGAGTTCGAAGAAAATAGACGAGAGTAAGGTAAAAGACAGTTTTTACCGCACAGTGGACATTTTAATCACATTTAATTGTAGAAATGTTAAGTGAAAATTAAAAGATACTTCTAGATTATAAATCAGAACGTAACGTAACGTAACAAAACATAGCTTAAATAGAGCATGCGTTTTACTGTTTTGAGGAGAAAAGCTGCTTCACGTTAGCCTGTGACAATCAACATCAGCCTCCACTAGTAAACTATACTCCTACAACACGTCAATAGGAAATCCAAAATTCAATGTTTCGGACGCCCGTAGACGGCTTTTTTCCCGATTTTTAAGGGCTCAAAACATGGTTCGAGTTATCGAGGGTAAAATTATATAGAAAATGACCTGAGGGGAAACGAAAATTGGTTCGAGTTAGCGGGAGTTCGAGTTATCGAGGGTTCGAGTTACCGAGGGTAAAATTACAGTGAATGTATGACGGAAATCCAGGGGAAATAGATTTTGGTTCGAGTTAGCGAGGGTTCGAGTTATCGGGAGTCGACTGTACATTCAGCTTCACCAATAAGGCATGACAAACATGCAAAGAGCACATGTGTCTGAATTTGAAGTCCTGAAAAAAACTCTAAAAGTCATTGAAAATTGTTGTCAAAAGGGGGTATAGACCCACCCCCATGGGAAGCCACTGACTAGAGGTTCAACTGTACTTTTAGGAATACTTCACGTTTTCGCTCATCCTTCTTCTTTTTCATCAGGGCACATTAGCCAATGGCGAAGTCAAAACAGAAGTGTCACCTGCTAAAGAAGTTGCAGTGGATGGACATACGAAGTCTGAATAGCACCCAACTGCCAAACTGCCAACTCCTTCTGGGGAATCTCTGTGAATCAAGGATTATGAAGACTTTTGGTGAAACCCTATTTCTGGGCAGTCAGGAGTTGGATGAAGAATACTTAACTTGATTTTCAGAGAATAATGGCATACACAGTGTAACTCAGAACAATCAATTTTGCACAAAGCTGGTCATTTACTACTGCAATTAAATAACTTACAAATGTTTTATTCTTGTTTTATTACATGTACACTGTATATTTATCACAAGGAGAAATCATCATTCTGTTTCATTTTATGAGAAGGATAATAATAATTATGTTTACGTCTTTTGTTATTTTTGCGTACACGGTTACTACGAAATTCTTTTATAAAATAAACCTAATATAATAACATTAGACTAAGTCTGCTTGTAAAGGACAAGCATAAATACATTTTATTTGAGCTCAGTGTATTCCTATGTAATATCTCTGTCTGTATTTGTAGGTCCTTTTGGTTAAACCTTTTTCTTGTGTGATATTCCGAAGCTCGCTGATGCTATTTTTTGAAAGACAAGGGAAATATATTGTTTTTTTTTTCTTAATTATTAAGCCGCATGATTATTTCACACCAGTTGCGGATAGCTGGTTAGCTTAACAGTAAGGCACGCAAGAAAAGCTTTTAACCCTCTGTAATTTCTTTGTCCTTTAATACACGTTACTTTGTGCCTCGTTATTCTTAAGAATAAACCAGAGCTTCCGAACGAACTTCTAAAGTTTTTTTTTTGCTTTCCCTGTCGTGAGTTCCAATGCAATTTTAAAGTTTTCGAAAGATAATGTTCTTGAAATTGGCTAAAAGTTTTGTCCATACAGCCTCCGTGCACACGTAATATATTAAACGACCACTGGATAAAAGACGTTTCGTGTGAAAAGCCGATAAACGTATACGCGTGAACATAGCCTACGGTTCTAAAAATACTGAATCATAAAAGAAGTTTATATTAATTTATATACTTGAGATAAGTATATCGATATATTTCTTGCTCATTTCCTTTTTGCCTGGTCGCATAAAGCAGCGTCTTATTTTCGCTTGGCTTGTTTTATTAATTTTTTCTCAACGTCGATCCCGACTATCTGATCGGGGGAGAGACTGGCACAGGCTTGAAAAAGCAGCTTCTTATGACCCCCTTTTTTGATCGTGATCGTCTCTCTTTAAACATCCAACATTTCTTTTCAATCTGCAACAATGTGTCCTACTGAGGTGTAGACTTCGCGGAGGGAAAGCGTTCTGATTCTTCATAGGGCCCAGTTTCAATGTCTTCTCTGGCAACTATTGCAACACATCCTGTGGTAATGTGAATACTGACAGAAGTTCGCTTGTATTACATAAAAGCATAGTCCACGAGTATAAATATCATGACAGTTTTTCACTTGTCCTAAATATTCAGATGATGTTGGGCAAGGCGTATTATTGCAGCGTTGATAGTGAAGCGGTCTGTTTCTTGAGCTGCAGTCTCTGGTAGCTTTTCCTTCATGATTCAGGCACGTTACTTTTCTGACCTGACTTCCGCCACCACATGATCGAGAACACTGCGAATAAACAGATAGAAGAAGTGACCCTTAGTAGTTTTACCAATTTTAACATTCCTAGAACACGATGGATGAAAGAGAAGTCAGAACTGTTCAATCTTATTGATGAACCTGACATGAATCTGCTAGTTTTTGTGTAGACTGTAGAATTACGACGGTACTGAGACAGTCACGTGGTACAAATAGTCGTTTGCGGTAACGTGATTCGTCCTATGTAAACTAAGTAATCCAATACTAATACTGTCTGGGTTCTGGATTCCAAGCCATGGATTACGGATTCCAGGTGCTCGATTCTGGATTCTCTGTCGGCAGAACTTTGATTTGATGTTGGACTTCAATCGTTAGTGGGATCCCGGATTCCTTGAACTATATTCCGGATTCCAACGCCCAGGATTCCTGAATTTCCCTTACATGGGGGACGTGATTCTAAAATTCATACTGATACAAACAAACACGGTCATTACTATCATTCGTTTTAATAGAATTAATGATAAAGTATGAGTTCATTTTACCTTGCCCCACTTTGTCGTGAACCATTGTGGTTTGCAGGATATACGGCTGCTACATGGCTGAACACTTGCTGGTTTTGAACTACGTGGACAAGCCTCATCCGGAAATTCCTGGTACTTGCCCTTATCCACACCCGCACAGAACACTGATCTGACTTGTGTACCTCTCCCACAATCTACCGAACACTGTCAGGTAAATGGAATTAATTTGCTTTGTTAGCATGTCGTTATCTTTGATGACCCAAAAGAGAGGGACAAAGTTTGTGCGTTGTTACATTCAGACCAATTTACACCCGATGACATGCACGGCTTTAACTCAAGTGTACTACTTTAGCTTACTTTAGTAAAACTTGAAGTCCTTCAACGCCTTCCTAATTTTAGGAAGTGCTTGTGAAAGTTAGGGGAACTCATTATCAAACTGTTGATTTTCTATGTTACATAGGTAAACTATATATTGCGACAGAAAGAATGTTATTTTAACTAGGGTGGTGAGGTGAACAAACAAGGTCTATCTCTCATGCTAAATATATTTTACCGTACTCCAATCTGATGCCACCCATATTGCCTGGCACTTGCCAATATTACATTGTCGGGTAGTACTTGGTTTATTTTCCTGTGAGCAGTGATCTGATGAGATGGCGTCTCCTCCTTTCCTTCCACACATCACAGGGCGACTTTGCTCTCCTTTGCCACAGAGAACTGAACACTATATGAGAAAACCGGAAGTTTTTAATGAGCAGCATATCTTACATGATGTTCAAGAAATTCAAAAGTCATGCAGTTAGACTGGATCTTTTTTTTGCGGTCCTTTCGTACTTTTAGCAAGTTTTGTTTGGGTTTGTTTTGGGTAAAAGATCAGAGCAGTCTGAAAGTCTTCTCAAACGGAACAATACCGACACCGGAGTGAACTGCACTTACATGAGACCATTTATTGCTTGCAAACCATTCCATCTTGCACGAGCCAGCAAAGCAGGAAACCACTGCTGAAGGCTTCTGGGTGTGACTACAGAAGCTTTCGTTTACGAGACTGTTACTTATGTCCACACATCGCACGGCCCGCTGTTTGACTCCTCTTTGGCAAGTAACGGAACACTGCAAATATGACCTTCGAGTTAGAGACGAAAAGAACGGAATACAGTGAAGGCTAGCGCATAGGCTTTAAAGATATCGATCTCAGTGAATATATCACAGCAAGGATATATCTCTGACACGAAATTGACAATGGCAGTCGTGTGAGCGACCTCAATATCATTGGACATTGCCATATGAGTAGATCTGTATCCACCGAATCTATGTCATATCACTGAAAGCTCGGGCGTTTACAACCTCATAGGTGAAAAGCTTATAGTTCTCAGAAAGAGCTGCATATACGAAAGAGAGATCGCTCAGAATCGGATGGCTTACAATCGACTCATTTCCCTTTTGTTCGCGGTTAAGTTGGCATATATGTAACTGGGAATTGAAGGTTGTGGGGGGCGGGGTGGGGGTGTGGGGCAGGAAGGGAGAATTCAAACTGGTGGGAAGGAGGCCTAAGGTAATTACCTTGCCCCATTCTCCAACTGTCCAATTCGCGGGAAGAGGACATGGTTGTAAGTTGCAGCTCCGGCTTGGAACAGGTCGCTGCCACTGACGGCAATAGCTGATTGGTAACATCTGCTGCTGTCTGTGACCATTATTATCAACAAGCTGCTTGCACCGGAGATTCCGGATCTGTAAACCAGCTCCACATGTCTTAGAACATTTGCCCCAGCCACCGGGCTCCCACCTGCAGTCACGTCAGTTGAATCAGAATCTACTCTTGTGTCCAAATCTTATATTAACATGATCATGGGAAAAATTAATAATTATGGTGCGGGAAGAAATGAGCTATAGCTATATAAGTTCATCTAAGCTGTAAGTGTCCCTCTGGTGACATAAAAAACATATAGAGGGTTAGTTACTATTTTAAAAAAAACAATGGAAGCAAGGCTTAAAGGACATAATCTGCGGCTGACTCACACCAAAACTCTTATCTTTTACGTTAAGCCACTCGAAAATAAGCTTATTCCATAGTAGTCACTAAACTATACGTTGAGAAAGCCATGACGTTTGTCAAGAGAACATAAAAGCCTTTGTAGAAAAAAGACTTTTTAATTACAGTTACCGTTTACCTTGGTGGACAAGATTGCAAGTTGCAAACTCTCTGTCTCTGCGGTGGTTTCGGGTCCGCCGAGCAAAGTGACTGTTCAACAAATGAATTATCCGCCAAGGAAACACACTGATGTACCGTCTTCTGAATGCCTGTTGGGTCAAAATAAAACCTTTTAAGGACTGACACCTGATAAGAATAGTTAATAAATAAAAGGTACGCAATATATTTTAAAAATCCGGCCACATAACAAGTCAGATATATCAAATTAGAGCGGTTTTCATTTGAGTATCGTAAAACCAAAACCAAAGTAAGTACTCTAGCCAATCACAAAGGACACAGACAAAACAGTGAACCAATTAAAACTCGAAGTAATTACATGTAGCTGCCGCAAAGCGCGGGAAAATGCATGCGAGCGTGACACAATTGGTTTTGGTTTTCCTTCTGATTGGATAAAAAAGTGGCGCGAATCTTTTAAGCCAATCACGTAGCGTAGTAAACGCAAAACCAATTACCTTTCGACACTCAAATGAAAACCACTCTATTATCGACAATACCAAATCAGGTTAAATGAAAGTGATTAGCTGAAGATGTGCTACCTCCTGCGCACGAGTGGGTACACTGTGTGAACCCTGTGAGTCTCCAAGCATGAGCGTTCCTGTTAGAGGTAGGTTGGGTGGGCTGTGTCACCAAGCCTCTGTGACCAATAGGAGCGGGTTCCGCTGGCTGCTGTGCTTGTTGTCCTCGCTGGTGTTGTGTATTTGGGTAATTTCTTGGAAGAAGGTACGAATACTTGATTTGAGGTTCGTCGTTTTGATAAAGCAACTGATGAAGGAGGAAAAGGAAAAGGTCAACATTGTGTATACATCTTGTTTCTACGCAACGTACTGCAACGTACTATAATCGAACAACTTGAATGAAGTGAAAGAGTCTTATCTTTTACAGTCACAGTTTTAATTTTTTTGGAGTGGCAGTGCAAGTGGAATATATTTTCATTCTTTCTACCACGGCGCTATATTAAGCACGGGGAATTAGCTCAAATGGTAGAGCGCCCGCTTAGCATGCGGGAGGTACCGGGATCGATGCCCGGATTCTCCACTTTCTTTTTTTGACTAAGATGAAAAACGAAACAAATTCTAATGATTTTTTAGTCCTCCCAAGGTGGGTCCATCCCCGGTTTAATCAATTTAAACTTTTAAAACTTGATCCTCACCATTACGTCAAGATCTTCGGTAGTTGGTCCTGCAGCGATAAAGGCCTCTACTTCATTTCCAGTGTTTCTGCGAGGTCTTGAATAATAACATGTCGTTCCGGCTACGTTATATCTTCTTGGCGGGTCAACAACCCAGTTACCATTGATGTAATATTTGTTTGAATCGTGAGACTTAAGAGCTGTAAATATAAATAAAATCCTTTATTAAACCTTCAACCCACTGTCGCTATACTTCGGCTGATAGTTTGCGCACAGCCATCTTTGACATTTGAGATTGCAGCAAGATTCTAGCGTCTTTACCAAAAAGGCCCTGATCATTTCACTACCAAGGATTTTATCTAAAAAAAATTATACAATGCAAAATTCTTGCTGTATAAAATATTACAGCAGGTTCTCTTGCAAAACCTGTTTTTTAAATTTGTCAAATGTCGTAGTTGGGGGATTAGCTCAAATGGTAGAGCGCCCGCTTCGCATGCGGGAGGTACCGGGATCGATGCCCGGATTCTCCAGTCTTCTTTTTTCCTGATCATCACTTAAGTTGTTTTGACTGCAGCGGCAGTCAAAGTGCGCGGCACAGAAAAAAATATCTCCTATAATTTGAATCTGTTGGACTGCCCTGTAACTTTAGAAGAATAAAAAAGAGTTCCAGGGCGAGCGTTTTTTTTCTCACTCTTAACTATTGCTTCCCGCTAAGAAACGGAAAAAAGGAAAAAAAAAGTCATGGAGAATCCGGGCATCGATCCCGGTACTTCCCGCATGCAAAGCGGGCGCTCTACCATTTGAGCTAATTCCCCAGTTATTGGGAAGTCTCACCACTTAGGACAAATAAATTAAGAATTACTTTTGCAAAGAGAGAAAGAAACGTTCGCATTATTTTTGTTCAAAAAAAGAATGGGTCAGTTCAGAACAAAGTAATGGAGAACTCTAGCGTATTCTTCCAAGCTTTTCCAGTGAGGAATTGTGTTAAAACTAGACGTACAGCCTGACAGCAGTTAACCAGACCTTCAGTTACAAAAGGCTGTTCGAAATCATTAATCAGAGTCAAGATTTTTTAAACAACACCGAAAAAAAACCATCGATGGGGGAATTAGCTCAAGAGGTAGAGCGCCCGCTTAGCAGGCGCGAGGCACCGGGATCGATGCCCGGATTCTCCATTCTTTTATTTTTGCTCATCATTATTTGAATTTTAAAGACAGGAGAGTGGGAATATTTAGTAAACGAATATTTTGCAACAGTTATCAAGTTGCAACAGAGGGTATTATTTCGTAAATTAACAGTTTGAATCTGCTGGACTCGTGGGGAATATTCTGTAGTTGCTATATTATCCAGTTTTGTTCACTTTTTTGCTCCAGTTTAATTTACTGCTGCAAGGAAAGGGAAAAAAGAAAAGCGGGCGCTCTACCATTTGAGCTAATCCCCCCTTTTTCGATGGCTACTGAGAAACATACGGCAAAATAAATTTCATGGCAAAAAAGAATATAGCTCTTTCATTATTTTTGTTAGACAAAAGAAAGATGGGAAAAAGGAAAAAAGGATATGGAGAATCCGGGCATCGATCCCGGTACCTCCCGCATGCAAAGCGGGCGCTCTACCATTTGAGCTAATTCCCCAATCCTGTCGAAAGGCATTAACAAAACAAAACAAAAACATAATAGAATATATGTCCAAAGAGAACGTTCGAAGCTCATATTATTTTTTTCAACCTTTTTCACGTAGCGTGGTGATGTTTTTATCATAAAAGGAAGCCTTTATTTTAGCTTACGCGCTTATAAATCAACGGAGTTGGAGAAATGAAGACTCAAATAATTTTGTCATATCTCGGCTTCCATTAATTCCTCCTGCTATTCGAGCTAATGTACCAATCTCATTCTGGAATTCGTTGTGAGACTAGATGCATAACCCGACACTGCATTAGACTCTACCTCAGTTACAAAATGTTGTTCAGTATTAATAGTTCATCAGGCTAAAAAGTAACCAAGTGAAAACATCATTAGGGGAATTAGCTCAAATCACCCATTGTAGGGATTAGAAAAAGTCTCTTCAAGCTTGCGCGAGTGCACAGCTCGACAGAATGATGCTGACAAACTTTGAAGTAAACAGGAAAAAAAAAACAAAGAAGTAGCGACAGGTGTTTGGTCTTTCAAACCCTACCTATTTCAGCCTCGAGTTCCAAGAAAAACTGAGCTTAAACAGTGACGGGAATTGAGTGCTCTTGCAATACCTTTTTTAAAAAGTTAGTCTAAAAAGAAACATTCATCGCAGTTGGGGAATTAGCTCAAATGGTAGAGCGCCCGCTTCGCATGCGGGAGGTACCGGGATCGATGCCCGGATTCTCCACAATCTTCTTTTGTTTGCTGATAATTACTTGAACTCAGAAAGCTGAAGCCATGAAAAGTTTTAAAAACTTGACCGAGATAATTCAAGATATACATTTTTGTAGAAACAATCAAGAGAACGTTATTTCCTAGTATATAATTTGTACGTTTTAGACCGCGGCCCTCAGTTTTAAAAGAATTAATTAAAAGAGTCTCGTGGCTGGTGTTAAGAAGCGCAGCTGCCACATTATCCTTTTTTTGATTTTCACTTCGAAGCTGCAAGCAAATTTGCTACGAAGAGGAGAAAAAAGAAAAAAAAGGTATGGAGAATCCGGGCATCGATCCCGGTACCTCCCGCATGCAAAGCGGGCGCTCTACCTTTTGAGCTAATCCCCCAATTCAGTCTAAAGAAATAAACAAAACAAAACAAAACCATACTAGGGTTAACCCTAACCCAACCTAGCATGGTGATGTTTTTATCAAAAAAGGAAGTCTATATTTTAGCTTACGCGCTTACAAATCAACAGAGTTGGAAAAATGAAGACTCAAATAATTCTGTCGTATCTCGGCTTCCCATTAGTTCCTCCTGCTATTCGCGCTAATCTACCGATCACATTCCGGGATTATTTGTGAGACTAGACGCATAGCCCGACACTGCCTTAGACTCTACCTCAGTTACAAAATGTTGTTCAGTCTAGTTCATCAGGCTAAAAAGTAACCAAGTGAAAAACATCAAGAGGGGGATTAGCTCAAATGGTAGAGCGCCCGCTTAGCATGCGGGAGGTACCGGGATCGATGCCCGGATTCTCCAATCTGATTACCTCGAAAATCATCTTTTTTTTTGTTTAGCCACACATAAATTACAGACAGTGAACCCCGCAATAGGGAAAGGACGCCTGGGCTCATTTCATCCAAGTCAAAGTCTTTGTTATGAAGCAAGACGGTAGGGAAAGATGAAAAGTATTATATAAACCACATAACTTACCAAGATAGTTTTTGCTTCTTCTGATCTCTGTGACGTTAATATTGGTGGCACCAGCCGGTATGGTTATTATAGGATTGTAACCTAAAACTGCAGAACGAACATTCATCAGTAAGGTATGAATGTAGGAGTATGAAGGGGGAGAAACTTCCGAACTTACTCGCGTCGCCACAAAGACAGGTCGCGATAAAATACTAGCATTAAAAAGGTGATCTATAATGTACAGACAGCAGTGAATCGCAATTAGTAATTATATAGAAAATTTGGAACATTTTAGCTGTATATTGTGTGGGTTATCGATCATGTTTCACGGTGAAGGGGAATAGAAACACGGCCAAGTTGAAAATGAGTCTAAATGCGTTTCCTTTTTCCTCTAAGAGGTCTCGTTCACGATGGTGAGTCAAATATTACTTAACTATGCGAGGTTTCCAATCTAAGATGTATTTGTTTATCTGAAGCTTTCAATAAGCTTTAAACCTTTAAGCCCCAAAATTCACATACAAATTCTCCTTGAGACTGATCTCAGTAGTTGAGAGAATTAATTTTTCAAAGATCAAAGCATTTTCCCTTTGGTGACCACTGCATTTATTCTCGTAAACTTTTCTTTTAATTATGTACTGATGTTGTTAGGAGAAAATTTATGTTGGTCACTCTTGGGACATAAAAAGCGTAAATAAACCAGCTAAGTATGGGAAAACAATATGTTACTCGATTAATTATACGCAAAGCGCATACTTAGTTTCCCTCGTCTAACATCTTTGGAGGTAAAAACGCCTGATCGTCTTTGCTTTGGTTTAACACTAGACTTTTGACCAAAACATCCACCACCTTGACATTCCTTGGGCAGCTCCTAGAACAGAAAGAAGTAGACTAGTTTTAGCAATGTTAAAAAGCTCACAATTAAGAAGGATTCCGTCAACAAAGTTGGGTCGAATAACAGAGTTTTTTCTTGATTCAAGAACTTTTAATGTGGCACGTCTAAGCTTGAAAACTTAGCGGATTAGTATTCACAAGAGAGGATTTTCAAGAAGTAACAAATGGCTTTTTCCGCCGGAAAGTATTAAATAAATGCGCTGTGGTAGTCACTATTCGGTGCTTTGTTATGAAGTTTCAAACCCGCTGACCCGCCAAAATCGATCTGAGTTGTGCGTTTTACACATGACTTCGAAACTTGAGAAACGTGAGTATCGCATCTCAGTTTTGAAGCACAGGTTGAACAATGCATAATAGTAACTGTTAACAGCTCCCTGTATTTTTTTGCACATTTATCTTTGCAACTTAGCTAATTCCCAGGTGCGGATCTATGATAAATACTGAAAGATTTCCTAAACGAGTGCCTAATCTTCGAGAGGAGGCGGCGGCATGAACCTCCGTGAAATTTTTCTGATTACGCCTTTCCTGGGTTTCTGAGTCATTCAGACAGGATATTGGATCCGCACCTGAATTTCCTGCTTGCTGGCAGAGAGGTAGCAAGGAGGTATACATACTGAATCAGTCGTATCATATTACATATGATAACTATGAAGAAATCAAAAGACAGGAAACCTGAACAGTAGGTGGACCTAGAATATGTTTCTGCAGCGAGGATTCAAGCCCAAATTCTCCCGTGTTCTAGGCACAAGCAGAAGCCAATTACCAGGACTCTACATGATACGCATCCTGGCAGAAGAGATACAACTACACTTATGACTTATGGCTTATCCGCCATAATTACATGCCGTCATCTCACCTTGCATTTACCGTCAATGCACACCTTCTTCAGGTCCGTTAGGCAGGGTGTGCCGTCTTTGACTTTAGGTAGAAGTTTAAGGAAAAACATGTGTCCTTTCGCTAGGCAATTCAGCTGACATTCATCTTGTCTGATAGTCTTCACTTAAGATTTAAAAATAAACATTTCAGCTCCCATTATCGGAACAGGTAAGTTACTAGAATGCACCTACAAAGTACAAGGGAGGCAACGCTTGGTAGGAATTATTAGGCATAGATTTTTTGTATCGGTTGTTTATTAGTGTTGCTTCTGAGGGTTAGGGTTAACTTTGTGTCTGTCTCATAGTGGTAGAGTGAGTGTCATTCATGTTACTTTCGACTTTTCTGGAAAGACGTTTACTGTGAAGTCGTAAACTATCGATTACCGCAGGTTTTCTGCTCTAGGAGTCTAGAGTCATGAATCTCAGTTAACCTGCCATCAGGCTTTCTTTCAGTTTCTATTTTTTTCGGGGGAGCAAAGGAAAAAAAAGAAAAAAGGACCACGTGAACACAGGTTTAGTTTCACTCGGCAGACAACAAACTTGAGGGTCTTATACAAGATTATGTTAGCTCACCTGGCCAAACGTAACAAAAAAGGACCGTTTGCTGTGATCTTACCTCTCAAATATGGGATCCAGGTGAAAAAGTATCCATTGAACGATGTGTTATCAAACTTGGTGCACTGCTCTGCTCTGGCCTTGATAGCCACCTTACGTGTGACTTTTGGGGCTTGGTAACAATTCTGCAGACAAAACGCAAAATAGAGAGACAATGAAAAGAGTGCACTTTTAAGAGCTTCCTGATCGTAAATCAGTGAAACCATAGAAACGTGTCTGTCTCATTTTAAGCCTTCGTAGTAAAAGAAACTTGCTTCATTCAACCACCGCGTATTAGCAGTCTTTGAAATTAACGTTCATCATGTGCTCTGTTCCACAAACTGACCGACAATGCTGTGTGTATTCCAGTAACAGGTACTAAGTGGTCCACTGTCGGTATAGTGTCGAGCTTTAAATAACTCAGCGAAGCTCGAACCTGCAAGCTGACTTTTAATTTTCAGCGAATTTTAACTCCATCCCATGAATTTATTTTTAAAAGATGGCTGGCCTTTCTTGTCTTATTGCTATGAATAAAGGGGAAAGCGACCCTTAACATTAAACCTATTTCTTCCTATAAGCAAAATAAACAAGAAAGAGACTTTCGTTAGCTCTTTTTATGACTTTCACCACGGATGCGTTTGAAGATTTTCAAGAATTGAAGATCAATATATTTTTTTCCAGCATATTTGACTTCAGAAAAGTCAAGGTCAGTAGGCTTAATCGTCCATGAAATGCGGTTTTTCCTTGGGCCGAGAAGTGCTTTTGTTAATAATAAACTGATCCATCATCTATTGTCAAGCATGAGTGGCGTAATCACCTGTGGCCATGAAGTTTTTGGGTCCGCCCAAAAAATCAGTTAATGGACTCGATAAAGCAAAAAGCTTTGTAATACACAAAAGGCTGAAATTTTATTTGAACAGGTCAAAACTAAAATTAATTTTTGTAAACAGACAATCTAGTGAAGGGTGAAACTGCGATTGCATTCTTTATCCCGCGCGTGAGTTAACGTGTTTATTATTGTTTTGTAGATTAAATTATAAATAGCACTAAAAAGTACTGTGAACCGAAGGCATCGCGTTCCTAACTATATAGGAACATTCGGGAATGGATTTTAGAACAAGATTAGATAATCAAAGACATGGTGATATATAGCAGAAAGATAGTCAACTATCCCTAAAGCTGGCTCTTCCACATATATCGCTCGGTCGTGATTGTTTCGACCCCCGGAACATTCCAGATGCGATACCAGAACGATCTGAAAGATTGGGACGATTCCATCGGACTGGAGAGAACCATTGATCCATCTTGCGGGTCGAACAGTTAACGTGCGGCATCCTAAACTCTTTCAAAGATCGAGCTCATATAACTTCATACACACGGCAAAAAAAATTAATAAATAAAATTTAAAAAAATAAAAAAAATCTGAACATCATCTTTAAATTTTATTGTACTGATCAACTCAATCTAGCACTTCCTCTCTCAGATAAACCTCCTTCACTTGAATTTTAATTCGAGTGAAGGAGGTTTATTAACACACCCCAGTGACAGAAAGTAGATGTTGTCTACCGTGTATAGAGGGCTAAGTGGTTGGTCGGAACGGCGCACAACAGAGGCAGCTACTACAAACTGACACTTGACCTTTTAAATGTGTGAGGGCTGCATATACGCTTGAATAACAAAGAAATTTTGCACTGAAATTTTTAAACAAAATAAATTGAAAAAGCGAATTACTTACAAAAACACTGGATGTGTGAATATTTATTTGTGTTACAACTAAGTTACCTGTGTGTTACAGGTGCCATATTGAATAGCCTCTCCCTGGCAGCTTCTTTTGTCCCTGTATACTTTCAACACATATCTAGGCGGAGTGGTTCCTCTGTTAAACAGAATAAGGGAAAAAATTTACTTCCGTCTTTTTTAAAAGAATTTTTAAAATACCCAAGCTGAAGTCTGTATGTGGCTATCGGGGAACAAAGTGCTCTTGAACATAGTTGGAGTACTAGACTGCTTGCAGTCCGCCTTTTCTCTTAAATACGTCGACTTCTCAGACGGAGTAAGCGCGTATCCACGAAAAACGCTTTTTGCCAAAATGGGACTGACTTTGAAGAAAATAAGAGACTACTCTCAGAGTACATAACTAAAAGAAACTGAACCACAGCTTCTTTCCGTGATACCAGTAGCGTCCCAAATGCGTCCAAATAAACATTTGCCTGACCACTCCTTTAAATATCTACACCTGACAGGTCTTTTTTCCACTTGAAAGTATAGGCTTACAGATTCCTAGGACCTTACGGTATTCGTAGCACGTCTCAGTTCAAATTTTGAAAAATTCATTTACGTCTTTTCAGGATTTCAAAAACTTACAACAGAAATAGGGAAGGTTTATTGTCGCTACTTTTTGAGCCATCTTAACTTACCTAGGTTTAGTAATGCCATAGCAGAAGCAGATAGATATTTAAGTGAATAACAGAATTGCTGTTGTTTAATTAGAATAGGACCAGGAGTCTTGGTATCTATTTCGCTGAAAGACTTCTTAGTTAAACGAAAGTTCCTTACCGTGATGAACTGACGCACTGCCTTATTCTGGAAGTCGTTCCACCTCCACATGTTTTAGTGCAAGGACTCCAGTCTCCCCACGGCCCCCAGTGGTCCCTCTACACAAAAAAATGAAATGAGAAAATTGTCATCGGAGTGTTATACACCTAGGCGGATTTCGTTTGTACATCAGGCATTTGTCAGAATCCGATCTAAGGCGTTAGCTTCTCAGGAAAAGCTCAGTATTCGCCCATTTTGGCAGTTCGAGAGGAGAAAAAAGGTAGAGAAATATATAAACCAAGTGTTAGAGTTTACTGTTCATTTAAGTACAACAAACCATTTCCTATATTGGGCGACCGAAAATCATTAACGCCTCGGTGCACCATGACCTTGGCGATATCATGCCCACTCAAAAACACTGTGTTGCAACACTTCAATGCCGACCCATGAGGACTCTGTTCGTGTTACATGTTTCTCTGAATTTGGGGATCGAAAAACACTGAAAATTTAGTAATGGTGGTACTTCTTCTCAACACCATCCTTTCATGAGGAGTAGAGTCTAACTAGAGAATTTGTGAGACAAAACAAGCGTGCTTTCAAGTATGCGAGAAAGACGTTAACAGCGTTACAAGTGAGTTAACGGACAGTGTCACCTCCCTGGCTTGATATAAGTGCAGATAAGTGCAGGTGATTAGAACACAGACCTTACAAAATGTTTGATTTAAATTAAACTTTTCTATCGAGCCTTTTTGTCAGTTGCCTTCTTCTAAAGTTCAACTTACCACTACCGCGAATGAAGAGATTTATCAGTGAAAAAGAAAAAGAAAAAAATATCCGTATCACTACGGATTTAAACTAATTTGCCACCGAGTAATTTGTTTGTGCCAATAAAAAGGTTTGTGTCGGTATTGAGCTGCCATTAGAAGTCAAAAGAACATTAATCATGCATCACTTTTCATTATGTCACATGTGGTTCAGACTTCCCAGCCAATGCATGGCTTGTGGTCAGTGAGCTAAAAAGGCAATTAAAACAGAAGTATCTTAACTGAACAAGAGTCTGCTGTAGACATACTCGGCATTTCTATACACTGTTACATAAATGTACGGGCAAAGAACTTGTAATTAGGCTAAGCTACCCGCATACTTATATTCTAAAGGATATTGACAGTCAAAAGGACTGATATAGCCATTATCCCGTGTAGTTTACGTCAAGAATGATTTGGTCACTTTAATAAGCAACATACTGCCACGGGCAATATAAGAGATCTTATCAGGTTAAATTATAACTATTTACAGCTCTTAGCTATTTTCAGGACATTGCGGCCTCAGCACAAATTTTTAGTTTGTGCTCAGGTATTTGAGCAAAAAAACCCGACGCTATGAAGTCGTAATGGCATCTGATGTTCACAGATGATTGCGTTTTGGCTGTCGCAGTATTAATTCACTGGTTGTTTTCAACACTTTCGTGGTTTAAGCCATTTTGCTGCCGATTTGTGAAGAAAAGACCGCGCTGGAGACAAAAGCGCGTACAGAATTGCTTGCAATCGTGTTTAACTGTTTCTCATTTGGGGTTCAAAACCTGTAACTGAAGGTATTTTATAGTTTACATTAAAAGGTTCTAAACAAAGTTAAAACTGATTTGTGTCTTACTGACCTGAGAGGACTGCGAATGAGATTGACAGAGCAGACCGAGCAAAGCTGTCCACCAAATGTGCTTCAACATTGTATCTGTCAGAAATAAAATCGTACCTTGAGTTTTGAGGGCACGTCTTACGTGCCGTACGTAAACCTGAATGCCGCATACGCTAGACTTACAAGAGTTTTGCTTCACGCTTTGTGACTTCGTCCTGCAAATACGCCAGCGATGTAATATGTAGGGTTAGAGTCCTCTCCTCGCTGTTTACACGCTAATGTAAACTAATGAAAATACCAATGCCATAACCCCATGCCAAGAGTTATAAAACAGTTCGTAATAGACAAGTTACAAGTTTGTCAATGTCGCTGTTTAGTAGAGATAAATCCCGCTCCAACTTTGACATACTGCTAGTGTTAGAACACGTTTGGCTTGACAACATAACGACTGCTTACTTTATTATTACGCTGCCGGCAGCGGTCAAACAGAGCATGAAACAATAGTTAAGTGTTACACAAAACTCACTGGAGGCTAAGTAAAGGAACTTCATACATATTCACTGCTTGTCGGTTACAAACTCAGCCAAGCATGAAGAGAAAATCACTTAGCACATGATTAGAGGCACTTTATTCAAGATATTAGCACCGGGCGTGATGCCTACAAAGTCTTTTGTGAATAATGTAGATATAAAAGGCACATCCAGTTCTGACCTGTGACAAAATGGTAAATTGGATTTGCGCAAGACTGACACAGTACAACGGATTGCACGCGCGTTAAATAAGTTGACTTATTTCTTACCAGTTAGCGCATTAAGGAGGCATTCAACAGGTGCCAATCATTTCAAAACCCGAATTCAAAAGAGAAAGTAGAGATCCGTAAACAATAATTTTATGGCACTTGCCTTCATAATTTTTTAATCCAACTGCCCTTTTTCAAGCAATTTTCACCTTAACTCGACGAGTTTGCTAAAACGATGCATAAAACGTAGTTTCAATTTACGTCACTTAATTGTGGTCATAAAACCCAATGTTATGTTAAACGTTTAAGGTAGCATGCTGTGCTTTCTAATCTTTTTTTTTAAAGGCTAAAGGAAATATTTGATGAATAATTTGTAATGTCACGAATCTAGACAACATGGCGCAGAAAGGAAAACAAATGATTTCACTCTGCTTACTTTGAAATAGAGTTTCGATTATTAGGTGAAAATTGGACTAGTGTATCAAAAAAACGTTTCCTGAAAACATCATCCGATAGTTTATTATTTGAACAGCACCTCCCTTTCCGGAAATAGCGATATAACCAGCTAGTGAAACCTCTATGTAACGAACATCTATTATAACGAAGTCCTCGGTAAAACGAACGATTTTCTTTACCCCACTAATAATGAAAAATATCATGAAAAAGAACCTCTATATAGCGAAACCTCGTTATAGCGAACAAATTTTGCGAGTCCCTAGGCCGTTCGTTATTGTATTTTATTTGACGGACCATTGACTAATTTGGCTCTTGCTTCAAACCAACATCAAATGGTGTAAAGTATTACTGATTCAGAGTATCCGAAATGACAGCAACCTATTTTGTGACCAGGCAAATTGCCTTAAGATAGACAGGCTTGCAGTCCGCCTTTTCCCTTAAAATCCGTCTAGTTCTTATCTCATCCAGCGCGATTGCAAACCACGACGTTGTTATTACGAGGGATTGAGACGAGACGCCGTCGTTTCTCGCGGCTCGCGGCTTAATTCGCCACTCGCGTGCTTAGGTTTCGCGTGCAGTACCTTTGCAAAGAAAAATAAGAGACTGCTCTCAGTCTAGCCTTATGAAATCTGATATAATCCGATTTCTATAACTTTCTTTTTTCGTTTAATCTTACATTTCTAAGTGTCCTTCCAAGCTGCTCTGCTAATCTACATCTTAAGCAAATATTAGCTTAAGTTATAACTCTGCTTGATCACGGCTATGCAGTAAAACGGATATTATATCTCTCAGTTAGTACTCGCGCTGTGATTGGTTAGTTTTGAGGGCCCTACTAAGTCCACTGTAGTGTACAACCCGCGCCCATTTAACCCTAGAAATTTTTCCTGTTGATTTATGGTCGGTCCGTGACTAACAGTTACGGATCTCGAGCTCGGTTCAAAGTCAGAGAAATGATATTTTTGCTTACAAAACTTTCAGAGGTGGTAGTATGATTCATGGCAATATACTGACTACTACGGTTCTGGTTTTTTTCCCGGGGAAGAGAGGGGGGTTCTCAACAAAATTTCATACGGGAAGGCCCCGCCGCGAGGTCCAGCACCTTACTCATATACAGGTTACCATTTTTGACAGATAAGGGACCCCTTTCGTATACCTTCTATTGACAAATGATACCCCTTTCACATAATAGTTTAGAACCCTGCCGATTCCTTTTAAGAACTGTAATTATAAATGCATCGTCTTTTAAGCGCGAATAAACCACTAAAACAGACACTTGCCTTTTTCATAGCCATAAAATACGTCTTCAGTTTTAGGTCCTTTCACAGATGGCAATCGCAGATTTCCCTGCCCACTCATATACTTCAACAAGAGATAATGAGCTTATTCTCTCTTGACTTCAACTAGCGAATTTTCTTCTCTTTCATGTACCTGAAGTCTGAAAAAGGTACCCCTTTCGGGTGGCGCCTTTCAGATTTTTAATTGTTTGCTTTAACCGAATACATGCAAAAGCATGCAAAAGTGAAGATGACGATGATGGTGATATGAAATGAAGAAATATGATTTTGATGATGAATATATTGCGACCAGAGAAGAGCGCCAGTCAATTTTTCTGGCAAAATTCAATAGAGGGCATCAAATGAATCAGGTCAGACGGTTTCTGGTGATGGATCACGAAGTGAGTACTGTATTCAGGGTCTATGAAACTGTTTCCCGCAAAAATCGCTGAGCGAGCAACACTGCAAAATCTATGACGTCAGAGGGTAACAGCCCACTGTTACCCGCGATTGTTGACCGACGACCGCCGTTACAGACAGGTTTAATGAATTTCCAGCTAATAGCAAATCACTGCGAATCTCAAGCTATATAACAACACTTGAATCCCGAATCTCAATGTTTCCCTCGGCTTCCCAGGAAGCAAAATTAACTGTTTCCCTCGAGAGCAGTCACTGTGTTAACTGTTTCATGTATTGCTCATAATTAGGCATCATGTAAGGAGACCCACGAAGGGGAACAGGATTCTCTCTTCCTTGCATCTATTTCATCAGAACATAATAAGAATTTTATTCTAGTAAAAGAAACACCACATACTGTATTTCTTAAGCCCTTGAAAAAGGATGAGTGATTACCCATCAGTAAAATTAAAGAGGAGAGTAGCATGAACCTTGCACTCATGAGTCCTGGCCCTCAGAACCTGTCACCCCCCCACCATTTACCCCCTCCCCCCACCATTTAACCTCCCCCCCCTCCCCCTACATCACCCACCACCTGTAAAACAACAGAAATGATCATGGAAAACCCGAGAGCGAGGCTTCTGTTTGCAGGCAATCTGATAAGTTCCACGTGAGGAAAAGAAAGAGATGAATTTTATGGGTAAAAAACGTGAGTGTAAAGTTCTCTTATCGAACTGAACGACTAGCAGCATATTGCATTACCATCGTTTGTTTGTTTGTTTTGGTTGTCTTTACCTTTGGATAATCGTTTTGCGGATTCCAGCTTAATTGTATGTAGATCAGTGAGGCTGTTGTTCGGCAAGAAGGTTATCTCAAAGCAGCAGAGATAAAGAAAATTCAAGTATGCATTACCTACCCCGAGCTAAAAGTAAACTATTATCAACCAGTCTTGTTAGCATCAAGACAAATACGATTCCATATCACGTTACGTTGTCATCAGAAGACATTTTTGCGTTAAATATAACCGGGGGAAGAGATTTCCTTTTACACTTTGTCATGCATGCTAACAAGACAGCAGAGCAGAGAATTTTGTCAGTTTAAAGTTGAGACTCTTCGATCGCTCGTCGGTTCTTGTACTACAATGTACTACGGCAGAGTGCTAATAGACCTTATATAACGACTAGTATAATATTTCAAAGGGCACTAAGCATGACTATGTTACATTTCATAGAAATCCACCGTGCTGTGATTCAAACTGGAGAAAACTCTTTTGACTTACTTTGACTTTTTTAGAGCGTGCTAAAGGATGAACCCTTCTAATAAAGTCCTTTTGGTGGTTTTAAATAGCTTAGAATTATCCTCTCTACTATAGAGGATTGGTAAATAAAGTACTACAAGTATATTGTGCCAAGAAGATTGCTAGGACAATCCTGTTGATATAAAGTTGAACAAAATTGGCCAAGGACTAACTATACGACTTACTCTTTGCTAAGCGAGGGCTGAGCTTTCCTGTCGTGTCCGTTAGCTTTCCTGAATTGATTTCTGTGTACGTGATGATCCAAGAGTTTTAATCTTTACTGGGGCACAGTCAAAATAAAATCACTTTAGCGTGCTTGCGACGTACGTGGATTGGGCTAAATTCCTTGGCAGTATTCGGAGATCTTGTCAGAGCACCATTAACACATCCTTTGTGTCGGAACTTGAGCTCATTTTTCAACCTTTCAAGACCACACACTCATGGAACCAAAACCATAAAACCAATCAACCAATAAAAATGATTAAACTACGTCTAACACAACAAAAGAAACCATTTTTTAAAATAATAACTCTTTGCTTTTGCTCTTATTCTGCTAAGAGAGTAAATATGTGTAGGTAAATAAAGGCTTGTTTGCACGCGGTGATACTCCAACGGGGTTGTTATCTCGCTGCTAACGAGACAGCAGCTGTCAGGTTGGAATTTTAACAGAGTATTTAAATGAGAACTTGTTTATTAAGTCTCGTTATCACGGTTTCATCAGAAGGTATCTTAGATAACACTTTACCCCCAAACACGTCACAGATCGATTTATACCGTACGGAAAGTCAGGAAATCAAAGATAACCAGAGAGCCCATCCGCAAGGACATTCAGCTTGTTCGGGGAAGGGTCAGATAACTAAATCACTTAAGTATTCGCTCACAAATGATTTCCTTTTTGCATCATCTCAAATGCACCCCTGATCAGCTAACCTGAGATAAAATCGAATTTTGGTTTGTTTTTCTGCTGCAACGTAGCAAAGTAATCAAAATGTCAAGTGTAACGATTAGAAGAATGCCTTACATTGGTCTATCTGTGAGCGGTTAACAAGAAATCAGTGATAATATCGTTTACGATAATTATTTCTAAATTTAACTCTGTTTGGAATAGTTTAGGTTTGTGCAACGTGGTTGCTAAATTATTATTCTTCGAGATGGGTTGGTTGCCCTCGTAGAAAACGGACTCGTATTGTCAAGACTCACTTACCACGACGGCAATTTTTTATCGCCCTCGTTTCTTTATCAGATGCACATCTGCCAGTTTAGTTTGCTTTGCAGACTGCATTTACTATTAATATTACTTTTTTTTCAAATGGTTTTAATGAAAGGGTAACAAATCATCGATAACACCTATTATTCCAGAACTGGGGTGATTTGATTACAAACTTCGGTGGATAGCAATTTTCAGTTATCTCAGTAAGCTTGCGTAATGGAGTCCTACTAAAGCAAAAGTGATAGAAAAGATGGGATATACTGTATATGAAAATATTTGTTTTTAAATGGCTTTAAAGAAACGCGTGAGCTTTATCCTTATCTTTTACTTCAAGGTCGGAACGGAGATGCAATTTCCTGTACATACTCTCTCGAGTGTGACAGTAGAATTGGTGGCGAGATTATTACGGAAGATGACGTCGACTGATATGATAGCAGTGGCGTCCCGCGTGCATGATTTTCAACACAACTACAGCTTTCATATATGTTTCTATTTTCTCGAGTACGTTACAAACGTTAAATCGCAAAATCAGTCCCTATTTGTTCTAGAGAACAAGAAAGATGCAAATTACTATCTAACTTCTCCGTCTCTGGATAATTATTACTAATGTTTTCTCTTGCAAACTCTTCTCTGTTTTTTACGGTTCTTTCACAGTGTTGAATGATGTTGGTTCTCTTCGTAAAGGAAACACTTCTTAATGCAAAATCACTTTATGATCGCGCACAATGGGCTCTGAACAACAACAACAACAACAACAATAAATGCAAAACTAGAGCAGTGACGCTTTTAAAAACGATTAAAAAGTGATCAGCACTTGGATGAGTTACATAGTGTGGATGTGAGACTTCCGACAAATAGAGAAACTTTTCGTCAAAACAGGAAGACGTCTTTTTAGTTCTTTTGGTGGTCTGTTATCAAGCAGATGCTAAACCGCCTGTACTGATCACTTTTCTATATTGAATTTACCTTACCTCATCGATCTATCTGAGTAGATCTCTTTTGATCCAAAGTTGACTACCAGCAGGTTCTTCGTCCACAGTTTTTGCCGTTTATTCTTTATCAAGTATGTACCTGAAATCAGGGTCAGAATTTGAAAAACTGGGTGACACACCCCCATCAAAAAGTCGGAGGAGGACCTCCTGGGACATCATTGTATCGATTTCCAGTTTTCTATCTTGGAAGGGAAATATCATTTTCAGAACAAAAGTCCTCAATTGATATTGAAACGTCTACATGAAATGATTTGTAAAATGCAACATACATCGTACGGCAAGATCCGTTCGATCCATGAGAAAGCTTTGAAGAAACGAGGAGAAACTAACCATGGACATTCATCCGAAATCCAGACCACCGAAAAGTGGATCAAACTAAGGAGCGGTTCTCATTTAAAACCGAAACACAGAGAGGAGTGTTTGATATAGCTGAGCTTCCCAAATGAACAATACATAAAGAAGTTTAAAGCTAAATTTCACCAAATTTTGCGGTTCCGTATTGAATTGCATTGTAGTATTTGATAATTATGCAAATCGATCGGTATGGTAGTGATTTTCTCTCTTCGTGATTTATTGATGAGTTTGACTAAATTAGTATATTCGTATATTTAATTGTTTGTAAGTTTGCTAAACCTCACCATTAACACCATAATTTTCATAGCATTACACGCAGCCTGTACCACTCTTTAACAAGTCTCTCCTCCTCAGTATTAGACTAAGAGAGTGATAAACCCAAGCACAGCCAGGAGCCCATCAATGGCACAGCCCATTTCCCTTGGCGCCTCGCTCTAACTTGAAACTAACCCTGGGAATTCAAAAGGTTAATGCGGCTTAGCTGTAGCTGTCACGATTGTAGATACTGCGCCTGATATTGGGCCACACGCGTAATTTTGTCAAGCCCAGCATACTTTCAGGATCTTCATTTTAGTTTTCGTGTGTTCAAGGCGCAATAAATAACACTGTTCTACAGGCTGGGAAGGGAAACCTTTATTCGGACACAAAAAATTGGTTTTTACCAACGTTAATTAAATTGAAAAAGTCAATAGTTTACCTCCGCAAAAAGAGCGAAACGCTTAAGTCAGTTGAGCAATGGCATGCATGGCAGCCTCAACCCAATGTTAGCGAAACGTTAGGTTAGGGGAGGGGTAGGTGGGGCAATTTCTTATGTTGATCCCATAGATGCAGTTGGAATTATTGCATCCTTTTTGACGGTCGAGTGACTGAATCTTGATCGCTAACAGTAATTGCCCCACTGGGGGTGGGGTGGGGCCTTCCATAGGGGTTATGGGAGAGGATATTAATTTTCACTTCTTTCTCATCCTTTTCCACCAGAAATGCCTGATACTTAGGATTAACCGTGGGATATCTCCTGGTCATTATGTCAAGGATGACAAATGAACTGGGAACTATGCAAGTAACGTAAAGCCCCGACCAGAGTGAAAACCCTGATGTTGCATGGAAAATTCATATTTATGCATGATTTTGTGGACAGAATTAAGTATTTGAATGGACAGGTTTTGAGTCGATTTGATAAAATGGGACAGTTGACTCATTCCCTTGGCATTCTCTTTCCTTAATTTCGTTTAAATTGATAACGTTTTCTTTAATAGGAGAGTTAACAGGAAGTGACAGTTGTTAACTAAGTGAGAACTGAAAAAGATAAAGGCGAAGAAAAGAAAAACAAAAGAGAGGGGTAATCTGAAATAAACCAAACAAGTGGGCTCTGAGATGTAGAGATACACAGCATAAATGGGCGGCGGCAGCTTCTTCCTTGTTTTTGTTCTATAAACTTACCTAATTTTATCGACTTTTAGAACTGGAATTAAAAACAATCAAAGTACTCGAAGATTTATTTGAAATTTATCAGTTAGCTAGTCTTTGGGCACTTTATGTGTCAGGTCATCAAATTATTACATCATTGTTCATTAATTAATGTCTCGAATTGTATGAATATAAGGTTGAACAAATGCAAAACTATTTCCAGAGTCTTAACGTATTGAACCAAACTCAGTCGGCATCCTGGATGAGACTCTGTCAAACACTGAGGGCAAAGTTTATTTTCGCATGAAGTGTGTGTCTAACAAAGCGGAGACGTCACGTTTTAGAGGAGAAGGGTCTAATAATTTTATGATGATTTTGTTTAGAAGAACAGAGCCGCTGCGGCGAATGTGTCTGTGTTAAATGTAACTGAAATGATTCGTAATAAACATGAAGGAAGCACCTCCACAGAAAAGCCTGAAAACAGTCTGGTTAAATGAAACTTACGGTTCAGTTTCAGGTGATCCTGCCACGCCAAATGAACAAATACTGTATACAATGAACAAACACACTTTCTATTGTAACCCTTCTAAACGCACTACACGGCTTGAATCTAACTTTAGAATGAATCTAGGCAATACAGTTTCCAAGAAGTAAGTTGTGGCAGCGGGAACGGAACTGAGCTTTAAAACCCAATCGGATCAACATGGGTTCAAGGCATTTTGGCGACAGTAGTTGCGCATTAAACCAATTCGCACACTTAAAAAACAAAACATTTCAAAATGTAAATAAGAACTGATTACCTGAAGTTAGAGTAAGGAGAGATCACAAATCACGAGGCTCCCTCATAGATCTATACGTCAAACGGTACACTGAAAACGTTTTTCCGCCCGACGAAACCTATACTTTCTGTGCTCTACAGTTACGTTGATTTGAAGTATCTTTCAAGCCTTATACTTGGAATAAATTTGTTGGCTTATAAGCTGCGTAATCTCTGTTTCTGACCTTTCGAAACGCAATATTAAACTGGCTCTGAAACCAAAAGGTAGTTTTTAAAGGTAGTGGACAAGACTGAAATGTGGGGGGTACTTTCATTAGCACGCCGGCCTTTTAATTATTATATCTAGCCCAAATAAAACCAATTGTTAATTAATTTAGGCGGCTAATTTAGCAAGTATACCCTTCTTATTTATCTCATTGTGCGAGAGTCTGTATCACTATAACTAAGCCAAAGGCCGAATAATGTCTATATCTTGATCTTTTCCTCCTTCGCATCAGGCCAACAGAATCCACCAAGCACGAAAAGGTACTGGCTTTAATTGGTTAACCGGTTGTCCACACCTACTGCAACTGATTGCTTTCCTATGTCCAAAACGACTTGCATGCGTGCTCCTAGTTTGAAACCAAATTTCAGTACCTATATAAACATTATATATATTGCTTACTTTGAAGGGCAAACTTTTAAATATACACCGTAAGCAAAGAAAGCCTCGTTAGTTTCAAAATGAAAGTCATCGTTTTGGATTGTTGAAATTAAGGTTTTAAACGCATCTGTCTGTATCTTAAGAACTGCTGATTTTGAGTAATGGTTTGACTAATAGTTTAGATTATATCAGAGGTATTTTCCTTTGACTCAGTGCAGTTAACTGTGCGGCATTCTGTCACAGTTAAGCCGTTAAGTTCCTTAACACATTCTTTATACCACAACTTAGATTAACATTGATATGTTTTGCAGACACCGGCAATCCGTCGGAGCTCTTGATGTAGTCCGTCAATGGCTTGATTTGAATTTTTTTTGGCGCTGTCGAATAACCTTTTTTGAATGTGGCATTCAGAAGCTGGAAACATTGATAATTTGATTCGAAAGTGAGTGTGGTATTGGATCAGTAAGGGAGAGAAAATATATACTCCCTGAAAAGTGACAAGTCGTAGAATTAATAATAATTATTAAAATAAATTATAATTATTATAAAAATTATCCCAGAATCCTTTGAGGCATTTTTTAAAGCCTTACAAGTTTGACAATTTTATACGTAGAAGACTGACAGACCACAACAAGATAAAATTTGCCTTAAAATATCTTCTCATGTCACATCTAGGGTGATTACGTCATCGGTCACGTGACCAGTACTGAATTAGGGTTGTTGCTGTAACAAGATTTCATTATTGGGCATTTGACCCCGGTTAGTATGATTTGTATGCAAAATTAAGTTGGTAGAATGAGGATTCATATATAGGAGAACTTTCAAAGCTAAAAGGATAATAAAATGCATTATTATTCATTCAAAATATTTTTCCGTTTCTGATTGGCTAAAAGCACACGCACCATGAATTCACCATAACCAGCTACTGTTGACCAAATTCGGAAGAATTTTGCGATTAATCAACCGATGACGTCAAAAGTCAAAAGTGCAGCACAGTTGCAGGTTAATTCACCTGAGAAGATCTGGCTGACTGTTCAAGCGTTTCAGGTACATATGCCTTTTATTGAGCGACGGTTTTTCACATAGGGTGAAACTAAAGTGTAATTTTCGGTGCCGCCTTCCTGGAAATATTGTCAGCATATTGCGCTAGGGTCAAACTCTGTGGCATGTATTTTTACGAGCCTAACGACCGCTTTTCAACTCAATGGGTAGCTCTTGTGGTCTGCGAACACAGTTGCCTCTCGATTATGGCTCCTTGCTCACGCCAGCTCCGTAAATTTCATTTATCAACAAAATGATAAATGCAACGCTGTGGCTATGTGTCCGGTAACCGGTCCAGGTTTTCAAAACACTGAAATGACCGGCAGTCAATACTCTCAGTAAATTTGACAAATCGGAAAAATCCAGCTATTCGTTTTCTGAGACGAGCGTAAACCAAACGCTACACTTGAGATCTATAAAGCATTTCAGGATCGCTCGACTTTTCTCAATCTCCATATGAAGTTTGGATTGTCTGGGATTCTTAGATAGTCAAATTTATTGAAAATACCGGACTGCCGGTCATTTGGTGTTTTGACCGGAAGTCGACCTGAAAAAAGTGTCAGTAAACGTGGTTTCGTTTTCTGAAACCAGCGTAAACCAAACAATAAACTTGACATCTATAAAGCGTTTCAGAATCGCTTAACTTTTCTTAATCGACATATGATAGCTAAGATTAGCTGGTTTCTTCGATTTGTGAAATTCCGGAATTACGGTAGAATCCCGGTATTAAACTCGAACTCAATGTGAGAGGAAACGAAAAACAGTTCGAGTTAGCGGGGAATTCGAGTTATCGGGGTAAATTTCAGTGAAATTGAGATCAAGGGAAAAGAAATTTAGTTTGAGTCAGGGGGAATCCGAGTTATCGAGGTTCTACTGTACCGGGTCATTTCGCTTCATATATAAAACTTATGTTGGATCCGTTTACGTTTCAACATTTTTGGCAATGGCAACCTCGCGCAGTTCCTTGACTGAACTCATTTAGCTCTAATCATAGACATAATCCTAACTGCTCACAGATTGGCTGAAAGCTGCGACAAATTTTTCTTTCGGATGGGAGAAAGGGACTAATGAAGGGCAATTTTCCGTAGTATGCTCTATTAGAAAGATCTTTGGGTAGGGTTACCACTATCTCCTCGCAAACAGCCAACATTGGGATGGATTTTCATTCTGGCAAAAATGTTTGAGAGTGCCGAGGGGAACGAGAGAATTTTGTGCTATTAAATGTAAAAATAGCCTCGAATATTTTTCTAATAAAAGTAATATTTGAAATTAATCATAATACGGTTCACAGGCTTCAAACAAAAAAAGGGACAAGATTATTCAATTTATCGGGCCAGGCGTGACAAATCCCAAGAGAGAATAAATCACTTAGAAGTTAGTCGTCATAGCAACTGAAGATATAAGTTTGTGTATTATGAAGCAACATACCGGGAAAGATCTTTATAAGAATCATGAGGTTGCTTTCACTCTGAAGAATAACTAGGAAGGTTTCGAAGATGACGAAGAAATGCATTTGTCAGATTTGTACGTGCGGGTAAGCATTTAAACAATCTTTGATTGAAATAGTCTAACGTGAGTTAAGCGATGACTCTTGCCCATACTGTTCTCAAATTCCTCCGCAATCGATGCCATCTTGAATGATTCTAGGAATTCCACTTTACTTCAGTAGGAGGTTTTACTTTTTTCAGATTATTTTTAAAATGAAATTATTTACGAGCTTCATGCCTAATAACGCCCCATTCGATATTTTATTGCGCTTCAATCCTTCGACAAAGTGTTCGCAATCCATGCCGAAGTACTGTTTTAAGAAATGGCAGCTGCGTGAACTACATGTAAGTTAGATTTTGTTGTTTTCAAAAGCCACTTCATCAGTAAAAGATCCCGGTTTTGGAGAATTCAAAGCAATAACCAAGCTCTTAGAACAAATATTCTCAGTTTTCGTTCAATTTGGTTTAATTTGAAAGCGCTTAATTCATAAACTTTATTGATGGGACGTGTCGTGCTTCTAATTGTCACTGAACGAATTCATCGGACTGTTTATAATTTGGCATGCTGCGAATAATATGTTGCTATTGCTTTTATTGCCACTAAGTCAGGAGAAATTGTCTCACTTTTTCCGAGTTTTTTTGTACATTTGTCAATGAACATTCGGTCTGTGGTCGATAACTAACCCCACGATAAATAAATATAATACAGAACCGCCACCTTGAAATTTTTGATTGCGAGCGTGATCAAGCTTTTATTAACCGGGATGTCAATATGCGAACAAGGCCATCATGACTTCATATAAGACATATAAGCTAATTGACAGGTTAAGAATACAGCTGTGTTGGTTATCTATCAGCTCTCTTTTATTATGGCAGTAGTTTTGGAGGAAAATGTTAAATGCTTCCTAGAGAAATTTTATATTTAGATACATCAAATGTTTAGTTGACACAAGCTTGGTAATATCCGATTATTGGAAGCTGAAATTAATAAGCCGATGTAAACAAAATAGCCGAAGATAGTACACTTACTTGGGATGAGTCCAACTCATTATTCTGATCTGTGAAATGGTGCTTAATTATTTTAATTGCTAAATTGCTTGAAAAATTCTGTATAGAGTGTCATGTAAGGTACATCATATATCCTTCAATTTTGAGGACTAGACTTGTTGAATATGTCATTTGGTGCAGAGAAAGAGCTGGGTCCAAGGGACTTTTTTAGCAGTGGTGCAAACTGAGAAAAACTTAGCTTTGTTTGTGTGAAATTATTTAATGGCTTATCCGACATTTTTTAAAAATATTTGAATGATTTATTTGCTTGTCAAATTTTGAACACTCCTTTTTAAGTGTTTTAAGGAGAACATAGCATTTTGATATGTAAGGCTTGAGGATGTGATAGAAAATTACCAGAACACCCAGGACTTAAGCCCATCAGTTGAATGCAGAAATGACCTTGTGGGACTTTAGTACTTATTTTTGCAATAGTGTTACTCAAAGAAGTGAACTTGTGGGCTTGTCCAGGGCATACAGGTCAGGGCAGTTACCAGCGTCATTGTGAGTGTCTTTCATCTTCCTACGCCCCGGGCAAGCTCTAGGGACAGGGAAATGTAAGAGACTGGGATTGAGGTTGGGCCGTCACTAGGTATACAAGTAGTTCTGAGAATGTGTACAAAGGCGTTTTGAGCCACCTTAAATTGCAAAAATTTTGAGATGCTAATTGCATCCCTGCCAGTCAAACAACACAAAACTAAATTTAACAGCTTGTAGGTTGTACCTTGATGCATCTTTTGTTTTTGGCCTTCCTCCAGGGGGTGGAGGATGGGGGTGTACCAGGCATTTTACAAGAGGGGTTGGGCCTCAACACATCTCAAATGATAGTACCCTGTTGTACTGTTGGCATCTTCAGTTGTTGGCTAATGTATTTGTACTTGGTAAACACATGATATCTTTTAAAGTGCAGTTTGACCTCCATTTAGTGCCACCTGTTAAGGGGCCAGTTATCAAAGTTGTGAAAAGTCACGATATTTCTATGTGATTCTCAGTCTCATCAGATGAGTTATTTTGTTATTTGGCTCAAATATGACTTTTTAGATCATGCTTACATTTTATTGGTTGGAAGGCATGTGTATTCTGTGGCAAAATTCAGAGGAGGCTTCAGTGAGAATAACTTAGCTAATTTCGCAAAACTGACGCGCACTATTAAACTAAGGCTTTGTGCCAATACTGTATTAGGGCGTTTGTACTATTTATGTACTACATGGTAGATTTGGAGGCTTGAAAAGTTTTCAAGCACCTTACAAATATTCACTCAGTTAGTTATACTCTCCATGAAAATTGAGAAACAGATTGCTTTTGATAATAATAATGTAGCCTCCTTTAGGAGGAAATGGGCACTTTCAAACAATGCCCCTCAGAAAAATAATTTAATCCAATCAACGAAATAAAGTGCAAGTAAGAGACAGGCAGATGGGGGGGGGGGGGTTGTAGGAGGACCAAAAGGCATGCAGCCTTCTTGTCATCTTCTTGTGATTGTCATTGTAGTCCTTCTGTGGACTTTGTCTTTCTTTTGTCTTCTATTATATCTCTTTTTTTCCCTTTTAATAAAATTGTTAGCTAATGTAAAGTAAAATTAGTAACCGAGAAGTAGACTTAATTGTAATCAATTGTAACTGTTTGTAAACAATAAAGGGAAAAAAGTTTTCAAGTACCTACCAGGAATTTTGGTCGTGGATGGTGTGCAAGCTTATGGGTTCCTGGTGCATGTGATAAATCATTATGTTTACCTTTAATAATTCTGTGAAATGAAGAACGAAATAATATTATTTTCATTCTCTCTTTCTGTTTTAGACGCCATCGATGTCCTCATGAAGGTGCCAGCCCAAACCGAATTGTTAACAAATCCATGCAGGATCGGTGTAACGTGAACTCCGAGTACAAAACAAAATACAAGCCGGGAGAACGAACCAGGGGACCTTTTCACCGTCCAACCGATCTACTTTACAGCAAAGGAGACTTAGAAAAAGAAACAACCCAAAGGCTTGATTTTGTCCCGTTTGAGGTCAGTCCTCCAAAGAAGAAGGAACCTGAGAAGTACTTTCCAAACCCAAACCCGTTTGAAACCGTGTCGGAACACCGGGATCACTATCGTGGGGTCCGTGCCGTAGCTGCTAAAATACCCCCGTACCTTCGTGGGGAAACCATGCGTGCCCCTTCAGCAAAAGTGGTGTACAGATCTATCGCGCATGACGATTACAAAGGATGGACGCCAGAAGTCCACCGTGTGACGCGTAGTAACTCGTACGCACCGCCTACTGACCCGTTTAGAGAGACTTCTATCCACCGGCAGGACTACCAAAGGTTTAATCAGCCACCACGCCCTACAGCACGCCAGCCTGACAAGATCAGATATGAAGGTCCTCTATCGTCCACTACCAATTACAGAACGGACTTCAAGAATAAGGAGATACCGCAGAGATTTCAGCGCAAACCTGAAGAGCGTGTTCCGCCAGCAGAGCCGTTCAACAGCAACTCGGTTTTCAAAGAAGATTTTGTGGATCTACGCGGTGCGCCAAAGGCTCCCATATTTAACCCTAAAAGCGATCTGTTTAAAACCAACCAGCCCATGCAGCAGGTGACAACCAAAAGAGAAGATTATAAGACTTGGGAGGTATCACCGCGCAAGCAACATGAACCGGAGAAATACAAAGCTCCAGATGGAACAATGGACTGTCAGACAACGCACATGGATTATGCGAATTTCGGAAAGAAAGCTATCCCAGCCCGTACCGCTAGACCACGTACCAAGCTACGATTTGGACGAGAAGAAGCGCTGGATGATAAAACCAACTATGGCTTGAGCTTCAAATGGTTCTACGAACCCATTGTGCATTCAAAGGGCCCAGGAATTAAGAATGAAATATTTCCCCCAGTCCAAGAGAAGAGTCCCGAGAAGTCGGAATTCCTTGATAAATATAAGAGGTTTAATGTAGTACCCCCCAGGATGTTTCGTGACAGGAGTGCCCTGTTCAAGACCTCGGAGGCACTGGCCAAGGATACGGTGTATGATGATGACTACTCATGGCCCCAGGTCACGTGTCCATCGGAAGCGCTAATCAAAGGAAAAGGAACGTTTGTGTTTGATCATGAAACTGAGATGGGACATAAAGTGTATTCATTGGCTGGGAAATCACATAGTTCTGACATCGCAGTAGCATAGCGCATCTGAGAATGAACAATTCCTCGATTTTTCCGTGAAATAGATTGATTTTAAATAGACTGCAAAACAACCGATATTTCTGCGATCACTCGGCGTCTAACGAAAGCTCTGCTGCTGCGGGCGGGTCGGGCGGGTGCAATCACCAAAATGACGCAGTTTAAAAGACTGAAAAGAAACGGAACAATACTCGCTCCTAAAAAAGGGATCATTATACGTTTCTGGGAAACACTTTCTTCTCACTTAGGGCAAAATGTTGGCTTAGGGGCGGGGTAGGTGGGCAGTTTCCCAGAAACGTAAAATAATAAAAAAAGTGCGCCAACAATAGTTTCCGCAACACCAAGAAAAACCCAAAGGTCTGGAGCGAGTGTGAATACGGAGCCCTAAATGTAACCGCGTACATCCGCGCTTTCGGCGCCTTGCACCTTACCAGCAGCGATTCTGATCAGCTTTAAGGAAAAGAAACCGACTGTTTTGCAGCCTAGATTTTAAAATGAACAATTCATAATATTCCACAAGAAATATTTTGTACTGGAAAAAGTTTCAAAGTGCACAAAATTGTTTTCAATTAGTTTCAGATTATTTTTGCAGCAGTGAATTTGATATATTGAGACACCAGGGCAAGGAGTTTTTCAGTTTGAAAGTAGGTTCTGAACCCAACATCACTCGTTTGCTGCACGTCATTACCATACTCCGGCCTTGTCACCAAGCCTCAAGGCGCATGAAAGGCTGGGAATGCTGTGGAGCCACGATATGTTGTGTTACATGTACTGGTATTTCCAACCTAAATGTATATTTTACTAGTATAATAAGCCATTGTTTTGTGAGAAAAGTGGAGGGTATAGTTCAGCTGTTGTATTTTCAACATCACGTGCTTTGTTTTTAATTGTTCATAACTAAAAGAAGTGTTCCAAATCGAAAATAAAATTTTTATAAATCTTTGTAATTATCGCTGCCGATTAATACTCTACATCATGTCAGTTTAGAGGGACTCGCCGATACATTTAGTAAAGGGAGTGCTGTAATTTTTTGAAAATTGCCACGAGAGGATTATGTACTAAACAAACTGTGGTGCGTCCTCGTTCAGGAGTGAAACAAAGAAGAAATTGATATAGGCAGTTCCCATAAGGAGATTTAATTCCACTCCATTGGCGCAAACAAGTGTGGTCTGCACCATACTGCTGCTACGAAACTTTCCGCGCTCATTCAGTAGGCCTCTATGGGTTGATTTCCACTGTCGGGTAATTTTTGCGTGCGTACGCACGTAAATTTTACGAGCGTAAATGAAATACAGGCAATGTACGAAAGGCCACGGGTAAACGTGAAAGTTGAGCGACGTTCAACTTTTACGTTTACACGCGACACTTCATACATTGCCTCTAGTTTATTTACGCGCGTAAAATTACGCGGCAGCGGAAATCCATCCTATGGCTTGGCCTACTATTGAAACGTATTACAACAATTTGGCGATCTTCCGAACAATCCGCTCATAAGTCTTGACTTGATCCGCTTAATCAGCCTCTTTACCATCGAAGCTTTCACTCTACTATATGTCATGCGCAGAAGGCACAACGTTCTTAGTAACAGTAAACGTTCGTTTATTCAGAGGAAAAAATATTTATAAGCTTTCCTTAAAAAGATGCTCAGGAGTAAAAGGAACTTCTTCGGTTCACATTTAGGAAGTCGCCTTATCCAGAATTAGACGACGTTTAACCTTCTTGCGTCATACATGGAATATTTCCCTAAATGCGTCCTTACTGTTCTGTTAAATAAATATAATATTCATTTTTGCAAATTTTCAGCAAACTAATTTAGAGTTATTATTCACTTATTATTTTTAGCGGCATGTGTTGCAACACCAGCGAGAATAAATGGGACACATTCCAATTTTCTTGACTCTCTGACAGTATCTCACTTTGTCTACGCAGTTCTCTGAAAAGCAATGAAGAAAAAAAAATACAGATCTCTTACAGTTAACCAATTCATATCAATTTTGTTGAGCGAGATTATTGAGCAAGATGTTGATTAATTATTTTGATGGTGACGATGGTAGTGATCAGGCGAGACCTCATCAGTAGGAAGAAAGGCCAGAGTGGCCCCCGAAAAAGCAAGAAACAAAGAGAGAGTGAAACATTGAAGGAGCTAGCTGTGTCACGGTTATATACTTCATTTTACATCGCCAGTTACGCGTCCTTATCCGCTATGTACTATGCAAAAATGACAAAATCTCAGCTTTATGTCCAGCAATAAGTCTCCCAAGCATTAGATCAATCGTTGCAAACAACAAAAAATGAACTTTGAAAAACTTTTAGGATGACAAGTTTTCAAAAACCACGATTACCATCCAATTCAATCTTCTTCAAGTTTGTCCATCCCTGCTTCCTTTGGTATTTACTGTGTCATTCATACCTTCTTTTAACTATTAGAGCGGTTACTTTAGATGTTCCACTCAATGTGGCGGCAGTTGCCACTGTTTGAATTTTGATAAATTTCCTGACACAGCTCCTTTAAGTTTCTCTGCATTTGCACACCAATATGATAGACAATTACCTCTTGCACAAGTTTTCCTGTTACATGGCTCCTGGAGGGAGGGTTTTTCCTGCCAACCACACTGACCTTTGGCTGGCTTCAAGCTTTTCGCAAACACACACTGCACATAACGAAGCTTGACTCCGTGTGATCCGCACGAACGGGAACACTAGCAAAGGCATAGGAAATAAAGAAAATATGATGATACAAAAAGAGAATAGGATATATTAAATGAATACAGTAAGGTCTTTGATTTATAACAGGGACAAAGATCAGATTCTGAAAACTGATTGAGTACTCCTTCCCGGGCTAACCCAAATTTTTGCCCTGGGTGAGAAATTATCAAGTGCTTAAGCAATGAAAACGTTCTTTGCCTCAAACACTTCTTTAAATGGACATCTTGGAGACATCACAAATAGTTAACGAAAAACTCTCTCAACAATCAAACCATACTTAGGTAATGTGTGGTAAGCGCACTTTCCGAATTTCGACTCCGCCCTACCCACCCACCGTCGCCACCTTCCACCAATTCATGGCCTGGATACGTATCCATGACAACAGATCCTTAATGAAGGATATCTACAGCTAGACTTACCGCTGACCAGGCTGTTGTGCGCCAAGTCACATGACAGTTCCTGTGAGTACAGCGCCGGCGTTTGGCTGGTTTATGCCTGTGTACACAGTGCTGCTCAGTTACAACCTTACCCATCCGATCCACACAGCTGATGTGTCTCTCTTGCCAGCCACGGAGATGTGTTATACAGTTACCACACTAAAAAAACAAGAACATGAGGAATCAGACAAAAAATTATAAATTTGACTCAAGATAAAGGAAACATTACGTTTTCACGTCTAACCTTGTTACACTGACACCTCCATAGCATGGACAATCAGACCCCTATAACAAACGTTTCCTTAGTTTCAAAGACTAGCACTAAACATTGAAGTTCCCAGCGCTATAAAATGTAGCCTCTACAACAAGCGATATTGAGGGCGCTCAGGCGGATTTTGCGGCCAGGTCACGTCTCGTCTCGGGGCTCAATAACACCTGTTAGTTGTACAGACTATATATATTGCACTCTGCCGATAGTCGTGCATATGCATCAACTGGTATATATAGCATACATGTAACTTTTTCTCGGTCTAAAACAGGAGAGATGTTAAACTTACCTTGCTCCAGGTTGTAGCTTTCCATTGTCCTACAAAACAATAACGGGCGATTAGTTTTTTAATGTTCCGATTAGTTTTAGCCGAATCTGAGCCCCAAATTGATTACTGGGCTTCTAAGAGATGAAAAAATTGCGGCGGGTTGTACAACCTGAAAAGGTCAAGGAATGGTGCGTAAACTGCATGAATATGTACACACTGTACGAGGTCATGAACACATCAACTTCCCTCACATTACATGTCACCAAAGATTGAGCCATATTTTGCGTTTCACATCTTCTTCAAATTTAACTGTCTGCTTTATTTTGGGGTGTGAACGACCGATTAAGAGAATGCACCGTTTATGTAAAATGCAAAGACGACCTATGCCATTAGGATTAAAAATAGAAATTAGAAAATACTAACCGACCGCCAGATTTTTAACAGTAAGCCGGACAGATCCTTGATCCTTCCCAACAGCATTTGTCGCAACACATTTGTAGTGTCCAGACTCCTTAATATCAACCTGGCGCACCAGCAAAACACCATTGGGAAGAAGTAAATGTCTAGTGTCATTTCTAATCAACACTCTGTTTTTGGTCCAGGTGATGTGTGGAGTGGGCTTTCCAACCACCGTACACAACAATATTAGATTGTAACCTCTTTTGACGGTGAGAGAAGAAATGGTATTTCTCCTAACAGCCGCATGAGCCATTGCATAACCCTCGATTCCTTGGCCGTGCATGATGTACCTTAAGTGTCGGTCGAGGATTTCAGGACGAACTGCAAAAATGAACAAATACCAGGTATTACGATTTCTAATAGCCTGAGAAAACAGCCGACATCTCGCGACACCATCACTGGTTTCCCCGCGAAATGACGTCTGAGAAACGAGCGCAGAAATTCCACACTGATGACGCGTCATTATCCAGATCCGGGTAGCGTTTCTGATTGGATCGGTTGGGAAATTTGCTTTAGCCAATGAGAAGCACTAGCCAGATCTGGGTAGTAACGCCTCGTCATCAGTATGGAATTTCTGCACTCGTTTCTCAGACGTCATTTCGCGGGTAAACCAGTGGTGGCGTGGCGAAATATCGGCTGTTTTCACAAGCTAGATTTCTAAATCTCTTTGAAACAATCATTCGATTCTGAGACACCTTGTGACATAATGATCTTTCAATCTCTCAATTAAAGTTGCTATAAGGAATGTTACATAAAAAGCAGCGAAAAATATTTCCAGAGGGAGGCTGTTAAATGGTTTGGATATGAGCTCGCCGGAGAGCGACTTGTGGTTGTTTTTTATATCATTTCACCCCATTCAAGGTAATCCAAGACAGTCCTGGATTCTGGATTCTGGATTCTGGACCTTGGATTGCGGATTCCAATAGTTAGCGGGATTCTTGATTCCTTGTGCTGAACTCTGGATTCCAGAACCCAGCCTGGGATTTCGGATTCCACAAGCAAAAATTTTCCCGATACTGGAATCCGCATTGCCTAACATGGAACGAAACATTGCTTCCTGGTGGATGAGAGGGAAACTTCATACTACATAATGCTATGGTCTTGTTGATTCTTTTCAAAGTCACTAATGTTTCTCAAGCCGTAGAATTACTTAAATGTATCTATATACGACGAGGTCAGCCTAAACCTAGATTAAAATCATACATAATGTATCTTCTCACTTAATATGCTGACAGTTGTAGTCCTACGGAGAGTTCCATATGAATTATTTGCAATACAAGTATAATTTCCTTCGTCTTCCAGGTCGGCGTTTGGTACCACTAATGTACCGTCCTCAAATACATTATAACGCTGCTCACGTGCTGAATTGAACACCACCCACTGAATTGTTGGCTTTGGGAATCCTACCACGTTACATTTAAGATGCAGAGTGGATCCTTGAACGATTGTAGTGAAGGAGCCAGTTGATATTGTCCGGGCCTTATAGGGAATGTTAAATCGAGATTTCACCCCTCGCCAGTAGCTAGGGATCTCTGGAGGAGCTGAAACAGGAAATGGAATTAAACCCAATAAGTAAGCAACTTTATTGATAATAGGCGGACGAATGCGGTTATCGACTTAATCGATCGACATCTTAGTCGATCGATCAATATCCAGCCAGTCAGCGGCTAAGGTAAATGAATGGTGAACGGAAAAACCGTCAGGGATGCTTGACACTTGTACCAAGCTAGCTCGTCGCCCAGCTTATCAGTCAGGCTAAGTCAATCAGTCACCAAGTAAATCAGCGAGTCTGTCTGTCAATCTGTTTGCCTGTCAATTAATAGGTAAAAATGTTGGTTCGGATAGTAAGTTTCAAAAGTAGGTTGAGTTTGATCGTGCGGGTGAACGTAGTCCTGAACAGGACTGTTGTTGTTGACAGTGACTGACGTTTCGATAACCTGTGCGGTAGTCATTTTCAGAGTCAAAGTGAGTTGTGTCAGCTATCCACAAACCACTTGAAACAGTCTGCTAAGTTATCAATGTTGCATCATCACATGGTTTATTCAATTAGATTCTTATGTTACCTTTCTATTTTATTTATTTTATTATTATTATTATTATTATTATTATTATTATTACTATTATCATCATCATTATCATTATCATATTTATACTTTGTCAGCAGTCATCCATCCCATCCATCCAGCCAACCATAAGCTAGTCAGACAAGTAAGGGACGGTCACACTTCGCAAGCACACGACAGAACGAATGAACCAAAACATAAATAGTACAATACAACACCATAGGCCAATTGTGAACTCCCTTACTTCCAATATTCAATACTGTGGTCCCTTCGTCTTTGCCGGCGATATTGGAAGCAGCGCAAGTGTAGTAAGCGGCATCAGTAACAGATGTGTGCGATATCCACAGCGAATTATCGTACATTACTTTTACAGCGTCATTTTGCATTATCGGATGTCTGTCCTCCATGTTTTCTCGATGCTGGTACCACGTGATGTTAGGCTGCGGAATTCCTGTTGCTATGCACTTTATCCTAATTGACACTCCTCTGGGAATTGTGACCACGGCTCCGGTTGTTATGGAAACGAGATTTCTCAAGTTTGTAATCTCAAGAGTGCCCTTGACATTGCTGACTAGAGGTGGAACTAAAATAAACGAAGGCACATGTTATTGTAAGGCAATGACGATACTAATCTTTCTCCTTTCCGCTGTTCGCGAGGTACGTTACTACATAAGGTAGAACGAATTTTTTTCTATTTTTTTTAAGTGGTTAAATAAATAGCTAATGGGAAAGGGTGTGCGAGCGAGATCTATTGATGGTCAAATTGCTCTCGCTCCAAAGCTGTCTTTTAGTTTGCCGAAGTTTAAAGTGATAGACCCCCAAAACGTGCGTGATCACCAACGTGGAGATTCGGTTTGCGGCACAATCCAAGCCAGGGAGCAAGTGAACATAAAATTTAATGATCTAGTCATCAGTAGTCTTCCTGTAACTCAATTGTTAGAGCTTCAGGTATTCAGGTTAGAATACCCTACAGTGCCCTTTGTAGACTCCCTAAACTCATATTGCGGGCGCAAGCCAAGCCAAGCCAGGGAGCAAATAAACATAGAATTTAACGATCTAGTCATCACTAGTCTTACTGTAACTCAGTTGTTAGTGCTTCAGGTATTCAGGGTAGAGTCAAAATATGCCCTCTGTAGTGTCCTTAAACTCACGTTTTTTTTTTTTTTTTTTTTTTTTTTTTTTTTCAGAAAAAAAAATGAAAATTCCACCACTTCATGAAAAAGGAAATTTCTGGAAAGCAAAGTGCTATGCAAAGGAACAACATCCTTACCTGTGACAGTAAGGTACAGTGATTCCACATCACGCCCAAATCTGTTGGACGCCGTACACTTGTATCTCCCCGCGTCCTTTAGCCGAACTCCTCTGATGACCAATGACGACTCATTCATGAGGTACTTTCCTCCTGGTGCAATAAACCGCTGGTCATGGTTCCACGTGACCACAGGCTGTGGTGAGCCCTGGTTTGGGCATTTCATGATAACTGTGGCGTTAACTACAGTGGTGATCTTGGCGCCAATGGGTGCGATCACAGGTTTACCAGTGTTTACATCTATTATAACCGTGTTGTCTGTTGTTATGATTGGCGCCCCTGGTCCTGCAGAAAAAGAAATCAACCAAGTCATCGAGAACATTTAATTCAGAGGTTAAAGAATGGTCATTTAAACCATTATGGTTGTATGGCAATCTCGAAATCTAAAATCAACTTTTGTTGACACATTACAGCCTACGAGGAGAACACGCTGTTCGCAACTTGATTTCAAGCATTTCCTGAAAATAACGATGGACCCAATAAACAACACCACCCATTATTTTCTGATGACTATGTCAATTATGCGCTGAAATGTCTCTCAGTTAAATGCGCCAAGCTAAAGTAATAACTTTTCAAAGACATACTACCACCATGGTCTTTCCGCATGAATTTAGTTATGATCATTTATGACCATGTATGAATTCTTTTATGATCTTGCATCACCCGCGTCATTGACTAACAAAGGAACTTTTAAGTTTTTGATAACGAAGAAATGAAAAAGCAACTTTACTAAAATTATTTTTTTATTTCTACACTCTCAACATTTAACGCATGATTATTACTGATGCGACGCACCTTTGACAACAAGTTCCGTGGTAGCGGCGTCCTGCCCTGCCATGTTTGTAGCCGTACACGTGTATTCATCAGCATCCTCGAACTGGACATTACTGATTGTCAGCATCTTCCCACTGTTGTTATATTTATCATCATTTGATATAACATTAATTCCTCGAGTCCATAGCAGTTTTGGTGGAGGTAAGCCGCTGGAGTCGCATCTTAAAACTAGCGTAGAACCATTTATGAGGTCAACTCTGCTTCCTACTGCTACAGTTAGAGGACTTTCCTTGTCCCAGGATACTTCTTCCAACGACCGGTTTATAGAAGGTTTGACGAAATCTTAGAAATGATAACAAAAAATGCCGCATAAGTACAACTGTAATATATGTAAGAAGAATTGCTTTGTAAATAACTAAAGGATCGCCCTGACATCGCCTCCACTAACTGCAGTACATGTAGTACCTTCGATAGTGATATTGGAGCTAGCCTCAGCTGAGCCAGCAATATTTGTAGCCACGCATGTGTACTGTCCAGCGTTCTTTAACTCTACAGCATCAAGGTTAAGAGATATGCCAGTCTGGAGTAGCCTTTCTCCTTCCCATCTCCATGTTATTTTTGGAAGTGGTAGGCCTGTGGCACGGCAGTTCAGTGATACTTGTGTACCAGGTAGTGTTTGAATGGACGATCCAATAGTGGTTTCCAAAGGTTCTAATTTGTACCAGACCACAGGAACGTTGACCGAAATTATCACTGGATGCATCGTTTCTATAGCAACAGAAAAAAAGAACACTGTCAGAAAGGTGAAAGTTTTGCTGAACTCTTTAAAATTCAAGTTTAGCGTAGCGTGCCTGATTATTGTCGAGTACAGTGCGGATACGGAGAATTTGTGTAACAATCAACACTTTCCGTTTGATTCTAGTGACCTTTAAGGAGAAAATAGAAGTTGGTGGCCTGTGTACAACCGCCCCCTCCCTTCAAAAAACAAAAGAAAAGAAAACAAGGCATTTTGGGGGGGGGGGGAGCTGGCGGCTGTACAAAAGCTAATATGTCGGTTGCTCTAAGAGGTAACTTCCATGTTAAGGGATACATGTCTAAAGAGGCTCGGTAACTTCAACGCTCATTTAGGTATACTTTCTTTTAGTGTGTTATTAACCCTAATATTGCCGTCTCTTCTAAATCACCTGCAACTGTTACAGAGGACGTTGCATCATCCTGACCAGACCTGCTTTTCGCTGTGCAGGTGTAGTTACCACTGTCATTAACAGAAGAATCCCGGATAACAAGCGTTCCATTAGAAATCACAACCAATCGCTCTCCAAGTAAAAGGCTCTGACCGTCTTTAGTCCAGTTCACATCAGGTTTCGGGATGCCCTTAACTGCGCATGTTAATGAGATGGTAGCACCCTTGAATGCGTTCACTTTGGAGCCTACACCCGTAGTTACGTTTCGATGGTCATCCGACACGACGGAGTCTTTGGATGGCTCGATTACGGGTTTCAGTGGTTCTAAAAATTCAGAGCGATAGCATTAAAGACATTTCCCTGATATGTAAACTCCCTTTCTTATACCAACGCTGGAACAATTTTCGTTATTTAATGAGACCCACAGATGTCTGATGACAAAGGGTAGAAGTGGGAAGGGGAAAGTGGGGGGGGGGGGAGGGGGTTAACCCGTATAATCCCCCTAAAATCATCGTTTATAATGAATGGATTCTTATCCCTATTATTTTATTTCTACTTACCGATCAGTTTCTGTTACCAATTACACTTAAGGTTAAAACTACTGGAAAAACACCTGTAACTCCCTTTCACGTTCTAGGAATTTGAATGGATTCGAAAAGATTGGAAAGGATTCTTGGTCTGTATTCCCTCCTTCTCCATTGCTTGAGGAGCAATGGATACCAAATGACCACTCCAGGTTTAACGATTTTGAAACCAATATGTGCCTTTTAAGGTCTCTTGCACGTTTTTACCTATCACGAGACGTCTTACAGATTAATTTCTTAAATGTGGCCTGTGTTTACTCTTTACTCTTCTAAAAGAAAGAGATAAAGTGCATCGAAACAAGGCTATAATAAGAATCTTGGTAGATAATTTGTAAAAATTGTATGGCCAACGGACGTTCAATCTCGCCTCGTAAACCACTTCAAGCCACAAACTTATCCTACCTAGTATATCTATGGATGAAGATACTTCTTCAGCACCGGCTATATTCTTAGCCGTACAGGTAAACGTCCCCGAGTCGTCCGTGACTGCTGATGTAATTGTTAATGAGCCTTTATCGTCAACCACATATCTTTCACCAGGAACCAACTCCACTCCATCTTTTTTCCAAGTTATTTTGGGACGAGGTGAGCCATCAGTAGGACAGGACAGTGTGATTTTTACGAACGCAAGCTCTGTGATTTGGCTCCCAACAGGTGAGAAAACAGGTCGACCATCACCAATTGGTACCTTAGGTCCTGGCCTTTGAACCAATATCGTTGGTTTCTTTAGACCTGCAAACCAACGAAGATATACTCAGTAATCCAAGACATCATCTCACGGGAAATGATAAGTCAGAGTCAGAAAGCAATTGTCCAGTGAGGCGTACAGGTATAAGAGAATGCAAAACAATCATTATATCTTGTGTTAATTACACCATGCTTGATGCATTTCCTTTACCATCAATACTGTCAGCAGTGAACGTTTTGCTGCGTGTGCGAGATAGCAGCCTTTGATCTACAGGACACTACCCGCTTGAGCCCAAAAACCATCTCTTGCTTTACAATTTACAATGAGGGATATTATCTGATATAAGCACATGTTAAGGCGTCAAGGCTACATTCAGGACATCGTCAAATATTATTACAGTCGACTCTCTCTTAACGGACACCTAGAATTGGCCACTGCATTTCTTTACTCCTTTTAGTTGACTTTCTATAGAAAGGACATCACTCTTGGTGCCGGTGCCAAAGGTGTCCGTCTTACAGAGAGTTGAATGTATTTGGGAACTAGTATGTCAGCCACGTACAGTTAAACCTCCCCGGTAAAGGGAACCGGGGCGGGTAGACCTACGCGTAGACATTACAGAAATGTCTGTATTGTAGAGATAGAAAATTGTTATCTTTGTAGTCGGGAGAGTTGTCTATTTTATACAAAGGTTCGACAAAGCACAAACCAGCCCTTTTTGAGGTGGGTCAGAAGAAAACTTACTTTCCACTTGTACAATGGTTGATGCACTATCTTTTCCGGTAACACTGTCTGCAGTGCACGTGTATCGAGCATTGTCTTCTTCACTGGCATCACTGATTATCAACGAGTTATCATCCCGGACTCTGTACCTGCCACCACTGAGGAGTTCCTGGCCATCTTTTGTCCACGTGACAGATGGTTTTGGTACACCGCTGGTAAGACACTGAATGGTAATACTTGTATTGACAAGTGCTGTCACGTTATCACCAATGGTTAATGTTAATGGCCTTAAGTCTTCAGCTTCTATAGTGTTTTGACGATCCGAGATCTGCACAACAGGTTTTGAAGGCTCTGCAGAAACAAAGGAGGCCAATAGCTACTAAGGACGAAAACAAATCGACAATTTAATGATTTCCTAAAAATACTAACCTATAATCCGAACTGTTGACGATGCACTATCGTTGCCAAAAAAGCTTAGAGCGTGACAGCTATAACTTCCACTATCCCCAGACGCCGCTTTAGCAAAAACTAGGGAGTTGTCACTGGTGATAGAATAACCATTTTCGTCAGAAATTTCTGCTCCATCTTTTGACCAGGTAACAAAAGGTGTTGGTACTCCACTCACTGGACACTTGATGGTGATGGTAGTGTTGGAAGCTGCTGTCATGTTATCACCGATGTTTATAACGACTGGGCTGCCATCACGGAAAGGAATTTCGTTTCCGAATTCTGGGACATCGATAGTAGGCTTGGTGGGTTCTGAGAAAGATTTCAAGAAGAAGGTTAATACCTTATATCAGTGCAGACCCTCCTAGTTAGCTGTAAAACGAAATGCTATACGTTTCTCTTGAATGCATATCAAAAAGAAAGTACTTTTGAACAAATGCCTGAGTAATTTGATAAGCTTTCTTGGAAAGAGAAGCTATTTGGTTGCACTAAATCTTTCACAAACGATAGTGGTCAGTCCTATGAAATCATTAATTTATGAATGGAAAACATACGAAATAACTCATATTCTGAATTGCGGATAAAGATATGATAGTGGAAATGATCCTCGCAGTTGAATAAACAACCTAAGGGGTAGAGGTTGCGTCGGGCCATCGAAAAGGTGAGGGTTCGATTCCCAGTCAAGTCGGAATTTTTTTTTTCAGGTTCTTTTCCAACCGCATAGGTTGTTTATTCAACTTCGAGGACTATTTCTACCTTCAAAATCGTTTAAGTCACGTTTCCAATTTACTCATCTCGGTGTTTTATGAGTCTTTACAGCTTTTACAATAGATTGTTGAGTTTCTCACTCAAATGCCAACTACAACTTGTAGGCTTGGCGAAAGGGCTTTGCAACAATATTTACTGTACAATCTTACCAACGACTTGCACTGTGCTTGTCGCACTATCTTTTCCAGCAGCACTGTCTGCAGTGCACGTGTATTGAGCACTGTCTTTTTCATCAACTTCATTGATCAGTAATGAACCATTGACCTGCATTGTGTACTTGTCACCACTGAGGATTTCCTGGCCATCTTTTGTCCATGTGACAGTGGGTTTTGGTACGCCCGTAGTAGGACAGTGAATGGTAACACTTGTATTGGTAAGGACGGTCACGTTATCACCAACAGTGAACGAAATGGGACTTCGGTCTTGCGTTTCTATCGTCTTCGGTTCACCAGAAGCCTTAACACGAGGTTTAGAGGGTCCTTTGTAAGAGTAAGAAATTGCCGTTAAAAAACAAATCTAATATACGACATGCAATGAAGAACGACACGAAAAAGACGCGGATAACTCTGATGGATTCGCGTATGATTATGAAAATCCACAGTCAGACATGACCCTTTCTTAGTAAGTTAAATATGCTCTTTTGCAACGATGATTCTTTCTGTGATGAAACCATCCACTGTGAACATGGTCTAAAAACTCGGCTACGCCGCGGTTTTCGGTGTCTGGATACTATAGACAAACACTGCGACTCGTGTTGAATACACAACTTTATACTTTGAACTTTTCATACACTTACACTTCTCAAATTCACAATAGAAGATTACGACACCCAGTCATGAAAACTCATGGAAGGAATTGTGCTTACTTTTTTTATTAACTATGCGTTATTGAAAAACCATGATGTCAAGATGGCTGCAGAATATTGACCAGTATCCAGCCCTCTCGGACCGAGAACGAGGAAAGGTCAATAAAACGCAAAAAAGAACGAGGCCAATATTCAACAATCTTGACAGACCAAACTTCGCCAATAAAGAATATATTTTACGGCCAAAACAAAATCGTTTCTTCCGGGAAAAGGCGGAAAATCTTGGGCGGGTAAATCCACTCAAGAGAGAATTATGGGACAGAAGGGGACGCTCAGTCTAAGAGAATTTCACCAAAGCTATTTTTAGATCAATTAAACGCTTGAAATATACTGGAGGTTGGTTTCCGGAGAGGTCCCCAAACTTTCAGTGCTGTCAAAAGAAAATAATCGGACATTATGCTCTTCTGGTGTGTCGCCATTGCAATATTCTGTATTCTTTGCTTTGAGGCGGTCACGCGTGGACTTGACAACGTTTCAAACAATCGATTGAGATGTGCGGACTTCCCAGGAATTAGACTTCTGTTTAATCACAATCGCTAAAAATAACTTTAGTAAAATTCACATGTCCCAGACAACATCCCAAGATTCCCTCTCATTATTATCTCTTGATTCACTCTAATACTTACCTATAATATTTACTGACGATGTTTCACTATCCGTGCCTGACACGCTCTTTACACTACAAGTGTACTCTGCGCTGTTAACAGCTCCTGTTCCTTTAATTACAAGAGCGTTATCACTAGTGATGGAATACTCGGCCCCAAGAACAACTTCTTCACCATCTTTCATCCAGGAAACAGATGGTGATGGGACGCCACTAACTGGACACTTGATAGTGATCGTGGTGTTCGAAGTGGCTGTTACGTTATCACCAATATTTATTGTCACTGGACTCCCATCAATAGCGGAAATTTGTTTTCCATATTCTGACACCTCGATGGAAGGTTTTACTGGCTCTAAGGAATATCCAGAACAGATAGTTTTATTCCGTTTGCATGCGAGCCAACGCATTAACATAAAACGTCGCTATTGCCAAGACATTCTATTTTAAATACGCCAGGAAACCACCTTGTACAAGGGACATCCGATATTAAACTGAGAGATCCAACAGGTACTGCTTACGTTGTTTTCTTCGTTGAAGAAAATGTAATTGTTAGCTAATAGTTTGCAACGGCGATGAAAGAATCATCAAGAATTAATCAAATAAAACGTAAAACTGACCTCTTTGAGGCTAGTTTTCACTAGCGACGGAGTCGGAGTCTTAGGCGAAGTCGTAAGAGCGCTTATGACCTAGTCAAAATCAAAAATCGGAGTCGTAGCGGAGTCATAAGCGCGACGGAATCGAGGTCGGAAGAATCAGAACGTTTCCCTTTTCTTCCGACTCCGCCTATGACTCCGTCGCTTACGATCTAATGAAAACCAGATTTTCGGAGTCGGAAGCAGAAGCGGAGGGATAAAAACAATCACAATGCACGTTTCCACGTTTTGTGATTGGTTTAGTTCTTCCGCTTCTGCTTGCGAGTGCGATAACCTAGTTTCCACTTTGATCGTAAACGACTGAGTCGTAAGCGGAATAAGAACGCTGTTTTCACTAGATCGTTAAGTTCTACGCTTCTTCCAACTTCGACTCCGACTCCGTCGCTAGTGAAAACTAGCCTTTACTGAAGACAAAACTTACCTACAATCTTCACATTACTCGATGCACTATCTTTTCCAGCAACATTTTCTGCACTACATGTATAACGAGCATTGTCGTCTTCATCAGCCTCAGTTATCTGCAATGAGCCGTCATCTTGAACTAAGTACCTGCCACCACTGGAGATTTTCTGGCCATTTTTCGTCCAAGTAACAATCGGCTTTGGCACTCCGGTGGCAGGACACTCAATGGTAACACTGGTATTGGAAAGTGCGGTCACATTGTCACCAATGGGCAGGGTTACAGGACTTCGGTCTTGAGCTTCTATTGTTTTTGGATCACCAGATGCCTTAACAACAGGCTTGGAAGGTGCTGTGAAGACCAAAAAGAAGAAATATTTAATTGAGGGTTAATTTTTTTTTACAGTAACGGTTGTGTAAGCTATGTCGAAGGTTAAGTGAAACCGTTCCGTCCTTGTGCTCCTAA